TATTAATTATTAATTGTACAGATTGGAGACATTGCAGGTTTTAAACTATATTCTCAAATTTGTCCCTAACCTAATTAGAATGATCCCAAACTTGTTTCAATAGCAACGAGTTAAATTGACATCCCTAGGGCTGCAAATGAGCCGAGCCGAGCCGAGTTTTGGGTTGTTCGGGCTCGGCTTGTCATCTTTGGAAAGGTGCTCGGGCTTGGCTCGGGCTCGGGCGGGCTTGGCCACATAGGGCTTGGGCTCGGGCTCGGTTGAGTTTCATGAAGCTCGGGCTCGGCTCGGCTCGGGCTTGTTTACATACACCCTCCAAATTTGCTTCCCAACTGTGCCTTCTATGCATAAAGAAGATGTATCGATTTAACCAAAAAAACGGAGATGGTCAGATTCGGAGAACATATTTCTACTAAGATCTGTAATTAGAAAATTTTCCATAGAAGGCAGAAGGCAGCCAAGAACCAGAGCATCTACAATTTTTTTTTTTATTTTTTCTGCTAAAATTTCAATATACTCAAGTAGAAAAATGAATTCCAGATTCAAGAAAGTAACTAATCACTTACATGAGATCACATCTAAATCTCCAAAAAAAAAAACGAAATACAAAAAAAAAAAATTAAAAAATAAATAAAGAATAATTTTTCAAAATAAAAATCAAATATTACCAGGTTTATACTATAGTTCCACCTTAAGATCCCTTTGAGAGATAGCTAGGTGGCTTGTGGATTGATGTCGGCAGAATTTAGGTTGGTGTTGATCCGAGAGACAGAGAGAAAAAACAATATAAAATATGTAAATAAAAACAACAAGCATCTTACTCTAAGTTCTAAATTGATGATTTCATTTATTATGATATGAAACATTGAGCATTCTTCTATTTTTTATCTTAAATTTGTCGTATCGCCACGTTCATATTGTGACTATATGAGATTTTTTTTTTGGGGAGACTATACTTAAGTAAAGTTAGGAATACTAAATAACAAAATTTATTTTGCACTTTGGTTGAATTAAGCAAAATAATTGCATATGCATTAATAATTATCGTTTAGGTCCAAAATGTCCTCCAATTTTTTATTCCAAAATATCAAAATATATTTTTTTAAATTAAATAATTCCTTCACTCAATAATTGGCAGCCATTATTGTTTCTCAGCTACTTAGATTTTTAATATATTATAATATTTAAAAGTTAAACACATAAAATTACCAAAAAAAAAGTAAAAGTAAAGTTACGGTGGAGTCGGACTGGAATGATTCTATATATGTCACAAGAACAACCTCCTTTTTCCCGTATGAATCCTGTACATATCAAACAACAATGTCATTTAAATTTTTTATTCTTTTGACGAAGTAAAAGAAAATATACAAAAACTGATGCCTAGTTTTTCTTGATATCTCAATATATGCCATTAAGCAGTTTCTTCTTCTGAAAGTTCATTTTCTTGCTGTTTGGATTTCCCATCTATATAATCCAAAAACCCACCTAACAGCAAAAGATAATCATATTTATGGAAACATAGCTTAGAGGGCATTTTGGATCTGAACAATAATTATCATGTGTAATTATTTTGTTTAGTTTAACTAAATTGAAAAAGTAAAATTTAAAATATACCACTTTGTTATTTAGAACTTCTAACTTTACTAATAGTTTTCCAATTTTTATTTTTATTTTTATTTATATATATATATATAAAATTTTAAGTCTTCAACATAGTGATAAATAAAGTAATTAACATTCAAATTTTTATCTCATTTTAAATGACACTTGTTTTTAAAATAATATTAAAAATATGTTATCAAACATAATTAATTAAATAAGCACTTGCACCATTTAAAATTAAGTGTTAAATTAGAATTTTTTTCTTGTGGAGAGTGTTGTCGGTAAACTATGTGGCTGTAGTGTTTTTAGGGTTTAATTTAATTCCAATCTTTGAACTCATGAGATGGTGAGACGTGGGTGAAAGGATTTAAGTTGGGCTTGATAAATGAAGGGATTTAAGTTGGGCCTGATTAATGAAAAGATGTGAGTTGGGCCTGATTAATATGCATATATATATATATATATATATAACGAGCCTGATACGAGCCTTGTTCATGAGCCTTGACGAGCCCATGTTCACAACCTATGCGAGCCGAGCCCAACGTTGTTCGGGCTCGACTCGTTTACTAAACAAGCCTATAAATTGGGCTCGAGCTCGGCTCGTTTCCTTAATGAACGAGCCCGAGTCGAGCCCGAGCTGTTCATGAACAGCTCGGCTCATTTGCAGCCCTAGACATCCCTACTTAAATCTCATTCTTCAATTAGTCTTCCTCTTCTTCGTTTCTCTTCAATGGATTATTCGAGATTGATTTTGAAGTCGAAAATGACCCGTTGAAAGCCTTGAACTTGAGTATGTATAAGTGGAAAATTGAGTATAGTTCACAAAACTTCACTTTTATCCGGTAAGGGTATTGTAAGAAACTCAAAGCTACTATGTGATAAATCCACCCTTAAATGCAAAAATGATGTGTCCGTAAATTACATGTAGTGGGAGAGAAATTATAACTAATGAGTGATAAAGCTTATCTGAATGATGAATACATGAGGTATTCTTAAATAGTATTTCAGTTAAGTATTTATTGTTTAGTGAGGATTTAATACATGATCCGGAATAATTAGTTTTAGACTAATTATGAAATGACACATAAATAAATATATCAAATTTATATCAATTTTAACCTACGTTTTTATTTATGTATCACTTTTAAGTCATTAAATTAGTAAAATGTGCATCGACCCACAAAGCTTGAGACTTTGAGTGACAAGTTTGGCCACCATGGCTTCTAAAGGCTGTCTTTGGGCAACTAAACACCATTTCATCCAAACAAACGGAGAAAAATAATTTAAAAAAAAAAAAAAAAAAACCTTGTTAGTCCTATAAAAAACTTATAGTACTTGTTCTGTACAGTGAAAAGTAGGATTTCTTCATATTTTTCCCAACTTAAAATGCATTATTGAGTAGTTAATGCAATTTCGGTTATAAATGTTGAGTTAAATTTAGTACAGCTATTATTAATTTACTTTTGTGTAACCCCAGCCCAATTCTTATGATTAAGCAGATCCAAACTATTCTAATATGGTTCAGATTGGTTTCGTTAGGCAATGTCATTAGTTGGGCTCAATTCCAACTTTTATATCAACCATTATGATTCGTTTGGTTTTGGTCTCCCTTATAAAATGAATCAAACAAAACAACTCAACCCTGCTTTGCTCCAATTAGAAGGTTGGCCTTTCTTTTCACATGATGAGCTAGAAAGTTGCATGCAACCAAATCTAGGCGAAGATTTTTTTGTGTGCCCGCACAGGTTTAAATCGGTACATCATAGTAATTCGTTCACAATATGTGTAAGAATATACGTCTCTCATAGCTCGACGCACTCTACGCGTTCACAATACGTATAGAAATAGATGACTGATGACTCGATGCACATCACACTGAATGTATTGCCAGATTACCGAGGTTTTTACACCAATCTGGACACGTGTCTGTCAAACCAATGAGTCAGCCAAACTCATATCCAATGCCCTTGTCATGTACGGACGGCCCACTACCACGAAACACAGCACAACACCACCCTGCACCATTATCCATGTCCATATCCACCACCACACCATAAAGAAAGAGAAATTATTATATTAAGAAAAAGAAATAAGAGAAATTATTACATAGATAATTTAGACCTAAGTCAAATATTCCTTTTCAATACGTACGGCTTTCACACTGTGAGCGTGCTTCCACTCTCACTCAAATTATCTCTATTTATAACTTAATTTTGTCACTCCCGTTCTCGAATTAGAAATTATTGTTTAAATATATTATTATAAATGGTACTTTGTACTTCATCTCCACAGTGAATTATTAATAAATAAATATATTATTTTTAATTACAAAATCAGATATTATTCGTTGATATGAATTAATAACAAATAAACTTTTATGAAGACTAAAGTATTATTCTTTAATTTTTTTAACTTTTAATTAAAGAGAACTGTGCTCATTTATTATTAATCTACAATAATAATAAGAATAGAGTACATCATCACTGGTAAAGAAATAAGTATTATCATCCTATATCTATTGATTCAAGTATTGTCTTATGTCTATCAATCCGTTTAGATTTTTGTCATATATGCTCCCGTTGTCATATATACTCCCGTATTACATTTTTGTGAGTGTGACATCTTGCTAATGAACGTGGCTAACTACTCATTTTCTTAATCAAAAAGTCTTAATTAAGTTGAATCAGAAAATGTCACGGGTTGTAAAACTATCTAATAATTTCTTTCAAAAAAACAAAAGACAAACTCAAATGACTAACACGTGATAGTACAACCTGACGTGGTAATGATAAGAATAGAGCACATCATCACCAACAAAAAATAAAAATTGTCTTACAAACTGCCAAGTGTCTGTGGACATCTTGCTAATGAATATCCAACACTCCTTTTTTTTTTTTTTTTTTTTTTAGTTAAGACACACACTATCTCTATTAAGGTTCAAATTCTTGACTTCTTTAAAAAATAGAAGTCTTATACCACTAGACCTAAAGCGTGTTAGTAACACTCTTTTTCTTAACTAGAGAGTCTGGATTAATTTTCATATAATAATATTTCAAAAAAAATGTACTGTTTTTTCTTAATTAAAGAGTATGAATTAAATTTTATCTAATAATTTTTCAAAAAAACGCAAAGGACAAACTCACATGACTAACACCGTGACAGTACAACCTGATGTGGCAAATCACTATTAGTTTATTCATACAGTAGCACAAGCACTGAATGCGACCCTCGAACAGTTTAGCGGATAGGCACGACAAGTCACGCACGTGACTCGACCCAGCTCGGACAACCCGCCCGACAAACAAAAGCCTAAACAATTCCTAATCGGTGACCGACACGTGTCCACTCTCCAAACGGTCACTCACTTTTCTCTCCTCACTTTACTTAAAAAAGCCCTTTTTCGATTCCGGTCGCCCACATGAAGCTCACTCCCGTGTCTCTCTCTCCGCCACCGTAACCCTGCATCCAGTCCGATTCTTTCTCTACACTTTCTCTCTCTATATATCTCTGTTTTGTTTCTATGTACATACCAATTGTATACTAGATCTGCTCTCTCCGGCGAACTCCTTCAATCGTCGCTCCGAGATCCAACGGTCGACGACGACGATGATTGCTTTCCACTCCGATTCTCCGGTAAGAACAATCGGGAAATGCTAGATCCATTCGCTGTAATCCACGTCCGATCCAAAATTTGGCTCCGCAAAAGGAAAAAAAACCCCTAACCATCCTTAACCTAAATCTGTAAATTGTATTAAAATTTGAAATTTTTGTTTATTTTTCGGTGATTAAATTGTATTGAGTAATTGAGATATCTAGTATTGTATGATATGATATAGATTTTAACATGATATTCTGATCCAACTGTTGTACAGTTCACAAATTAGGGTTAGGTTTTCATTTCTGTACAGTTAGGAGATATAGATAGATGAAGGTGAGTTTGGGGGGTGATTGATTAGTGGAATATAAAGGGCATTGAATCAATTGAAATCCTTGAAGGTGGCGAAGATGAGTTTGGGTGCGGCCGAGGAAGAATCGGCGCAAGAGATACATATACCGGCCGATATTGATTGGCAAATGCTCGATAAATCGAAGTTTTTCTTCCTTGGTGCTGCGTTGTTTTCTGGTGTTTCAGCCACTCTTTACCCTGTTGTGGTGTTGAAAACCAGGCAACAAATTACCCAATCTCAGGTTTCGTGCATTAGGACGGCATTTTCGATTGTTGGCTACGAGGGTTTTCGTGGTCTGTATAGAGGATTTGGGACTTCTTTGATGGGAACAATCCCAGCTCGTGCTCTGTACATGACTGCCCTTGAAGTCACTAAGAGCAATGTAGGGACGGCAACTATTAGGTTAGGGTTACCGGAGCCAACTGCAGCAGTCATTGCCAATGCTGCAGCCGGGTTGAGTGCTGCTATGGCGGCACAGCTTGTGTGGACGCCAATTGATGTTGTGAGCCAGAGACTAATGGTGCAGGGTGGTGGTGAAAATCCGAAATTTCCCATGTCATCGTGTAAATATAAGGGTGGAATCGATGCATTCAGGAAAATTCTCAACACAGATGGACCTAGAGGCCTGTACAGAGGATTTGGGATTTCAATATTAACCTATGCCCCTTCAAACGCTGTTTGGTGGGCATCTTACTCTGTTGCGCAAAGACTAGTTTGGGGTGGATACAGATGTTGCTTGTGTAAGAAAGATGATGAGAGTTATGAGAATGGTATGAACGCGTTTAGACCGGATTCAAGAACAATAATGGCTGTTCAAGGGGTTAGTGCAGCCATGGCAGGTGGTGTTTCGGCTTTAATTACAATGCCCCTTGATACAATTAAGACTAGGTTACAGGTTTTGGATAGTGAGGACAATGGACGTAGAGGACCGACTATTGGGCAAACAGTCCGGAATTTGGTTCGGGAAGGTGGATGGACGGCTTGTTACAGAGGATTGGGACCTCGTTGGGCTTCAATGTCCGTGTCCGCCACCACCATGATCACTACCTATGAGTTCCTGAAAAGGCTCTCAGCAAAGAATCATGAAGCTTTGACAGCATGAACCCAGAATACAATGGAAGTTTCTCTCATCCTTGTTATTTTTCTCATCTTGTCTTTGCCCTTTTATTTTTTTTTTTCTTTTTTGTATCCCTTGGCCTCGTTGCCCAGAAAATGATCTATGTAAGTGTTTGCAAGATCTGTTCATATATAATATGATTAATTTTCCTTTCACTCACACTGTATCACTGTGTCTATGTAAATTTTATATGCAAGTGTGTTATCCATAACTTGTGATTGTTTAAAGCTTAAGATTTCAATTAAGATTTTTAAATGATTCCCAAATGTTTGGGGGTCCTCTGTGTCAGTTAAATATTAGATTCTTTTGTATTGAAAAGTGAAAAGCAAGACTATATTAAGCAATTAGTCTTTGGAGTAAATGAAGCTTTGGAAAATTGGAATATGAGGTCGGTATTGACTCTAGAGTCTTCTAACATAATATTTGTGGGACTAATCCTATCCGTTCGATTGAGAATCTAAATTCAACTATTTTGCTTTTGATGCTGCCATCCACATGAGTTAGTGGGGGAGAAAAGTTTAGGTAATTGTACTGTGATGTGATTTATAATAATATGGTATTTAATTAATTAATTGATTGGTGGGGTTACCTAACTCTTGGATTTATATGATATTGAGGAGAATCAATCAATATTTATATCAACAAGTGGGCCCACTCTATCTAAAATATTCTACGTATATGTCTTAGCACTCACTCCACATCTATAAGATCAACAATTAATGGGATAAGAATTTATTTGTCCTGTATACTGCCATCACATAAGCCATTTCATTTATCCACCAGCTGTGCTGTGGATAAGGGTATAGTGGTAATTTGCTTTCGTATTGTATACTTCGTATAACGGATCTGGGTTTTTGTTTCCCAGCTGTATTCAAACACGTCGGAGGAAATGTTCTGACCTTTTCATTGTAAGTTTATTCTAGTGAAGCTAAAGGATGGGTTAAGTGCACGGGTTCCGTAAATTAGTCGGTTATTGGGAAAAAAAAAAAAATTTAGAACATTGCAATTACTTCTGATTTTAGAACCGTTTTGCATCAACCAGAAGAAATGTGCGGCAAACATTCCTAACTAGGGTTCAAATGTAAAAAGTGTGTTATCTGTTGAAAGTTCTGATTCGGCATAGAATATTAGCCCAGAAGTCATCAGATTAAGACATGCAATAAAGATAACAACTAATACCAACTTTGCACTCAAAAGTCCAGTATTAGCACCGGTAATTCAAGGGTTACGAAAGCAATTCGAAACTGGCTTCCTAGTGCAATAAAGATAAAAGAGTACTTCCACCGTTAATTCAATGGTTACGAAAGCATTTCGAGGCTGGATTCCAAGTGTCAATAAAGATAATGAGGACATCCAAATACATTGGCACCGTTAATTCAACGGTTATGAAAAGTCCAGTTTGGCACGGTTAATTCAATGGTTCTTTAATGGATTTATGTTAAAAATGCGTGGAAGATGTAACCATGGCAACAAAGCATGAGATATCAGTATCACGTCCATATCATATTTCTGGGGATGTGAACAAAAATGCTATTTAAAAGATAAATGAACAAATTTTCATTTTCGTGGATGCCAAAAAAACCCTTAAAAGCAAACCATCCAAGGCAAGCTTATATAGATTAAGAAGTCAAAGCAACCACCCACCAGCAAACAGAGTTGTCAACTTGTAAGCCCTCTACACATACTTCATTCATCAGTAACACACCAAAATCATGCTATAAAAAAAAAAAACACAATATGAGATTTAATCAAATGAGATATCAAAACTTAAACCTCGTGAATTTTTCTAGTTCGGCCATTTTTATCAGATGCAACTCAAAAATAAATGCTTGGTCATAATTTTGTTGATCTGCAAGAACTGAGAATTATATTAGTAAAGATAACCCTAATTTTATAAAGATGACTCATAATTCCAGAAAAATGAATTCTGCTAAGGCATCAGAACAGTTAATCTAACTCATGACAAATACAGTTTTGCTGAGAATATTTGAAAAAAAAGGAAACAGAGCAAGTGATAATTAATTGTTTCAAATAAGCCGTGAATATCGTTGCCAAACTACAATGAATAGTACTATACTGAAACGTGAGATCCCCTAAACCACAAGTAACATTCACACGTCTCGCTGAAAATATAGCACTCGGAAACAGAGAAAGAACCTGACCAACGAGGTAGTTAGCGGAATCCACCAGAAAAACAAAGGTAGAATAACTATCCAGCAGGTCATATCAAGGACGAACTCTTTTGTTGCTGCAAGACGGGCACTTGTACTGCTTGATATGCTCAGCTCTAGCTGGAGTGATCTTCACACACTTGCCGTGGAACCACTTCTCACATATGTCACAACAAATCCAGAATTCATCCGATGCATAGTTCTCCCCGCATGCCCCGCACAACGTCTCCCCATGCTCATCTTCTTCTTCCTCATCCAAGCCCTCCTCTTCATCTTTTGGCTGTGGCTTTGAGTATTTACCCTGGGACTCAGATTCCAACTGCTTTTGTCAACCCAAAACAATAAAAAGCAATGACAAAGAGAAAACACTGTGAAAAGAAGAGGGTATGTTATAGTTCTGGTAATTAATTGTGCACAAACCCTTCAAGTCAAAAAAGATGAACCCTCCCTATTTGGATTTTTTTTTTTTTTTAATGCACACCCAATGGCATACAACATATGCTAGGGAACGGAACTTAAAACATCCAAGAAATGAAACTACACAATCAACATTCCACAAGTACTATTTGACTTCCTATCGTTTCTTTTAAGTTTTAACCCAAACAAACAACAAATACTAATAAATTTAAGTCAAAAATGGGTATGCTGACATTCAGGTTACAACCTAGAAACACAGGAAAGTAATTCATGAGTGACAATTAGTTTGGCTAGTTTGAAATGAGTTGGATCGTCATTATTCATGAATCATGACATTAAGCCATAAGAAAGTAGAAAGAATGAACCATGGTGCTTCCCTAAAAATTGGCCACCAGCACATCCCTCTACCCAAAATAAGTATAAATAATTCTTCACCAAATTGATAAATTGTGCACAAAGTTCCTCTTTTACCGCTTTAGAGTTTGTCTTGGACTTGTTGCTGCCGTGATTTGAGACTACTGAAGATTTCTCCTTCTGTTGTTTCTTTGCAGAACCAGTCACAACTTCAAATATCGTGGGGAGATCATTCATCATACTAAAAAGCCGCTTCCTGAATCACGTGTTAAAAAATTGAAATTGTATCATCTCAATAAAATCAGCCTCACTATAAATGAAGTAAATAAGTTCAATAGCAAATACATTACAGGACAGCAAAACTAACATAAATATCTGACATTGGTTTCATTTGACAATAAAGAAAGGAAAGATATTTAGTTGAGGCGATCAAATCAGCCTCATTTTCATGATTAGTCTCATCCTAATGGAAAAATGTGTTGGGACTTTCAATCCTTTAATGCAAATTATGAGGCAGCAAGCATAAAATACATGAACAGAATTTGGCGAGGCAGAACAATAGGCAAACACGTCAACAAGATGTGTACTTTCCATGCCTCTTTACAAAGCTTTCATCTTAATAAGCACTGAAACATCAAAAAAGAAAAATAACCTTAGCCCATTAACCAAAGTTGGCCCCTGCTATGTGATGCTAATCTTTAAAAGTCTAAACAGAGTGCTGACATCTTTTTTAAAAGGAAATGAATAGAAGAACAAAACAAAGGACTGATCTTTTGATTTGTATGAGTAACTATGATGCACATGCCCTCTCAGACATCTAAAGTACCCATGAAGGTGCCAGCCAGCCTAACTCGGTACGTCACTAGGTTGTCAAACTAGAGACTTGGGATCTAAATCCCACATTGATCTAAAGAATGGAAAATGAAGTATTTAGAGTTCTTCCAATGATCATAACTTATGAGCAATCTTTAAGCTTTCATGTACACTTGGACTATGCCCCAAAGAAACTCATTTTTTTTTTTTTTTTTTTTTTTGATATGTCCCAAAGAAACTATAGGAAGGAGTTGTTCTCTAAAATCAAGTCTCCATCCAATACTTCAAAATGAAAGCCAACGGCAACTTGATTTGGAACTCTCTTTGTTATCACCACTCCCCTTGACATCAAAGATCTTTTCCCATGTACAAGCAATAGCCAAGAGACTCAAGCCCACCATTCCAATGCCTTGGCAATCAAGTTATTCTCTATGTATCTCAAATGCACTCCTAGATATATTTCAATAACCAATTTTCTCTATTTTGGTAGCAGTTTACATAAGTATCACATCAACAGCCCACGTGTGCTATAAATATGTAGCAGTACAATTTACTTTCCAACTATAACCACTGTTATAAATTTTTCCATTCCAGGTCATTATGATGCCTGAACACTGACTGCAAGAGTATGAAAGTTTGAATGGCATGACAGGAATGACCAAAGAGAAACAGACCAAAACCTAAAATCCAAACAAGTCTCATTTCACAAAGGGTAGGCATGCAACCAATTTACTAGCTGGGAGATACAAGGGCTCTTAACATGCTTCAACGTACTGAAATTCATCATATGCGGCTATGCCACACAAACTCACCAAATTACTCAATCATGACTGTTACACAACGAGCTCTAACGTACTGGAACACAACGAAATGTAACAGTGCAATTGCAACAATTTGATGAGTTGAAACTTGGCCCACACGACAAATGCAGATTTTCAAGTTGACTTAACAAAGACTTGTTCTGGACTAACCAATCAAGTTCTGTTGATTTGGGTTGAACCATTCAAGGTTCCGACTCATAATACCAAAGACATAGGCCCATTATAATGGGAGGTTGGGTGTTCTGATGAATCTGATTGTAGGTTGCATTAGGACATAGTGCTTATAAGAATATATAACCTTGTTGAAGAAAAAGGAAAACAAATAACTAGGGAAAAAAAAGGAAAACAAAAGTAATGAAGGGCTTCCAGAATTCAATAACTGACGACAGCAGAATAAAATGTTCAAGCTACATGGACACATGTTCCAACTCCACTGTGCACCAATGTTGTATCTAGCATCTTTAGGTACTGTGAAGGAGTCCACTAAAAAAAAATATATATATATATATATATATATACAGTCAATAAGTTGCTAGGAAATCATTAACAAAATTCATATGACCTTCAGAGTATTGACTTTGGAGATATTCACTCTATTAAATGAACCAAGGAATCCACCAACAGATATTATGTTGGATAGAAAAATAACTAAGATATACCTGTCAGCTTTATCAAACCCAAATCTAGCACCAAAATAGAAGGCAACAGCAAGTAACCATGCATCACTGTGGACAGCAACTAATGATAACCAGTCTTTTTCTTGCATTCCATCTCTAGCAAAATTAATACCCAATGCGGGTTCTGGGAGTTCTGGAGGCACTTCTTCTGCAGGTAAATTGACCTCCCACTGCTCATTGGGCAATCCATACAAGCACAAATTCTCCTTCTCTGAATGGTACAATAAAAACAAATTTACACTAGTATAACAGAAAGTAAAATAATAAAAAACTGAAATGAAGTGATGTGAAGTGAAAGAAAATGAATATAAACCATTAATAAAAATCGTACAGTTAAGGACAAAACTAGAATAATATCAAAATTTTGTAGCAGTCTACAAATAATCTTCAAACAATGAAAATATTATTAACATTAATATAAAACTGCAAAAGAAAATCACGAGTAACACAACAACTTAAGTCTAAATTTTGACAAGTCATTAAATTTAGAAAAACTTAAACTAGTTGAAAAAGAAAGTAAATTAATAAAAAAAAATGAAATTAAGTGAAAGAAAAATGAATAATAAATCATTAACAAGTACTGCATGGTGAAGAACTAAACTAGAACATCAAAATTGTACAACAATTCAGAAATCTTCAAACAATGAAAATAATATTAACATATGTCAATATAAAAATGCAAAAGAAAAACATTAGTAACATTTCTTGCACAACTTTTTTTTGATAAGTAAAGAATAAGATAGAAAGCGAACATTCAAAAGGGAAACGCATACCAAGAAAACACAGAGGCCAAAGACAAAGAGGGATCCTAAGGACCCAAGGAGCCCAAAAAATCTACTATCTCCTCTATAGATGTACAACTTCTCCCCATCCCCCAACAAAGAAGAAAACTAATAATAAGGAATTTAAAGTTCCTATGGGAGATTCCTCCCCATCAAAAGATCTACTATTCCGCTCCTTCCAAATGCACCACCACACGCAGAGAGGTGCCACCCTCCAACATGTCTTGCACAACTTATGTCTAAATTTTGACAATTCATTTAAATTACTTTTTCTTCAAACTTCAATGTTACGAGTATAGGCTGATAAGTGATAACTGATTACTTTTTTTTCTTTTTTTTTGAGGTTATAGGTTTGGTTTTCTCTTCTTAGCATTCTAGGTTATTCTATGATAAAGCCATTATAAATTTAATATGCTGTTCGCAGGCACCAATGCTAGATTTTCAACATTGGTTACAAAATCCTAACTGTTTGAGCATAAAATTGGTCAAACAGCCTTCAAAAGTAACATATTAAAAAAAAATGAATTGGAAATCCTTATGTAATTACATACATATAGTACCTTTGGAGTAGAAGAAAGGATGGCCATAAATGTATTTTTTCATCTAAGGCAGGAAGATTCTTAGCAGTAATGATCAAATTGGATAAATAAGCACAAAATCCAAATAGATCAATACAACAACATACAAGAAAATTCACTCAAGCAATAATGCAACTGCAATGTTCTGTAAATGCCAGTACATCAGCCCCATACACACAGATGCTTACTAGAATGATCGATTGTGACATGAATGTGTGTGTGTAAACAACATTAAACAACTTGTCTTAATGTCAAAATTTTAAAATGTTATGATGACACCTATTTAAGCAAAAATAAAATTCCAATACAAGTGCCAAATCAAGCTACCAAGCATACTGAACACACTAATATGCAGGAGAGAAAGCCCGCATATACATTATAGAAAACAAAACGGAAGTCCAGACAGTTGCATGGAAGTACAGCACTTGGACAAAAAAAAAATTTTAAGAAAGAAAAAGAAAAAAGTGTAAACCAATTGCGCAACTCTAACATGAGGGCACTCTCATTTGACCTGGCACCCCTACTGCCTCTCAATTTAACACGGAGGGTGTGATCTCACATGAGAGTTAAGACCACCCTCATAATAGCTTTTCCAAACCAAAATGAAAACAACAACAACAACAAACAGATATGGACAGATTCCTACTTATAACTGGTAGACAGAATTATCGGAAATTTCAAATAACAAGGGGAAAAATGAAAAGGCCATGCAAAGTCATATGATCTTGGAGCAAATCCATCATATTAACAAGAAGCAGTTGCAAAGAAACAAATAGATGTGCCCATAAAAAAGAAGTCAAAAAGGGTTCAGCTACCACACCAAAACCTTAAATGAGAAGAAAGTTGAATTAAGGAAAATGGGAATTGGAAGTCATACAGCATAGCCAGTTTGAAAGGATAAAAATTATTTTGACCCATTTAGAGGATCACCCTTACAGGATGTCTAATCTTGGTAAACCACCATCTAAGGGGAAATTTGCAACCTATAACACTTGGCCCGGACCACATGAGCTTTGAGGGTCAGCTGAACCCCCTAATATTTGGGGTGGGGGTCAATTCAACATAAATATATAAGAATTGTGGGATTTTTTAAAGTTGAGCCCCCTCAATTCTTAGAAAATTTGGCAATTGTAAGGTGAATTTTTATAATCAAAAGTCATTAATAAATTTCATTATATATGAAAATAATGTCAGTATCTCTTTTCAGTTGCACAACATGAACTTACTCACTAATCCACCTCACATGAACTTACTCACTAATCCACTTCTTAGCCATTTAAAGACCCAAGTTGCTAACAAAGTGAGAGATATCAACGTATGGAATTTTTTTTTCTTTTTTTTTTTTGTTGTAATGGTAGAAATGGTATCATCAATTCATTTAAATATTTTTTCTTTTTAATAAATAAGTCTAATAAGATATTTTACTACCACAAAAAAAGGGGATATTTTAATACCACATGCATCTGGTCTGAGATTTCTTCATCGAGTTACAATTTGAAAAATAAAATTAAAAAATCATTGAATTTGTTGGTTTTAACATATTAGTAAAATAGTGATTTTTGTAGATTTGCAAAATTACTATTTGATTATTTGCTGAAAGACCAGAGTGTAGAAAATTCTTTGGTTCACCTCTGCTTCAACTCCATCAGCGACGAGAAGGTCTACAAGGAGATGATTTCTATCAACGTGGAAAGAGAAATCTGGTTTTGATCCTTATAAAAATTATTATTATCTTTCACATAGCGTGTATCAAACATTTAGTAGATGACACTAGTGGTGTTATACGATAAGGCTAGTCATCTCTGTTGCTTGATCTAGGCCCTCAAGTTCCACCCACTTAAAGCAAGAAAAGAATTTTAGTGGAGGAGTACAGTATAGGTAATGCATGTGTCATTGTATAAGTGCTAAATGCATCAAATTCATGTCCTTTTATGTTACTACTGCATAACCAACTTTAATGCTGCACATAGATGTTTCTGAAGGAATATTCTTCCTCCAATAAAATAGCATAGAAATGATGATACTAATTGATTTAGCAATTTATGTCCTGAAATTTTGTGATTAATGGAATAAGTATCAAAAGTACATATCTTAAAAATGAAACAAATCACCATCAATTCCAAAGAAAAAGATGACTGGCACTGAAAGTCAACTAGGATAGCAGAAACTTTTTATGAGATTTCAAACTTAAAGTCACCATGGAAGGATATCAATGCAAATGCAAAGAGTTTAGCTGACAAGGCTATTTTGGTCCCAATTTAGATAGGTCATTTCAACATACAAAATACTAAAAAAATTAAGACTAAAAATACTCATACAGTTCAGACTAATGGCACCCAGCTGGTCAGATATTTAGCACAAATAATCCCATCAAATAGATTAATGCACATCCGATATAACAAATAAATAAAACCATCTCCTCTAGTTCACATGATAAGAAACCACCATGCACACTCAAAATTAAACTAAAACCAAAATCATAAATGTCAATGAAATAAGATACAGTATTTACAATGCACCATGTCAAAAGCCAAATGACTTCCATATTCAAAATTCATTGAACCACCTTTTACATTACACAAGACCAGAATTCACATCTTAAAAACCCTGATATGTTAAAGAGAATAAACAACAATAACCAAAAACAAAAAAAACAAAAAAAACACATCTTTTCCTTCGGGAAAATGACATGCAGGCTCCGAAACATTCTAAATGATAAATACATAAATATATTATATATTCAAGAGAAACAGAAGCTAACCAGGGTCACATTGCTGATAAAATTCTTCGACATCTGCAACAAATAGACCAAGATAAACCCAAAAAAACACTCGAAAGTCCAAAAAAAACCCACTTTATATAAAAACCTAAAATTCAAAACAAAAAAATATATATACACACAAAACCTGTAGTGAGAGCTCTAATCATGCCTGCTCTTCGGCCTTTGAAATCCCTAAAGACCTCTTCGACTGTGCGAGGATTGTAATGTCCTGCTCCGTCCATGGTCTTGCTTCAGATACTAAGTCAATAAATAAAAAATTGAAAAGGACTATCAAAACTCGAAAGGGCAGTAAATTAGGAAGAGAGAACAGGAGGGAAATTATTAGGGTTTTAGAGGTATTTGTTGGGAATTGAAGGTCGGGAGGACTGAGAGAGAACAGAAGAGAGAGAGTAGAGAGAGATGAGCGGATATGAATTGATTCATAATTGACCGGTTAACTGAGAGTATATATACTCGAGAGAGAGAAGACGAGTCCGAGAACCCAGATTAAGAAATGGACCCTAATTAGCTAAGGTGAGCCCTCTCAGTGCGTGTGTTTTGTGTGTTAGATTAGTCAACGCACAAATAGACTTGTATACTGTAATACTTTTAGGTATGCCAATGTCAATATCACAATATGTAACCCTAACCCTACCATGTCTATAATTTTTTCTGATTTTTTCCGACACAGACTTGAGATTTGTAAATATGCAAGTAATCGAAAATTCATGTAGCATTTTGCTTTAAAATTGATGGAAAGAATAATAAAGGCAACGTGAAAGAGAAAGTGATTGGGTAGGTGTAACAATAGCCATATCTCTTATATTGGATTTTGATGACAAAGAGATTGGGTATAATCGCATAAATGAGTGAGTATACAACACTATCTAATAACTTAAACTTTTGGATAAATAGACAAGCTTCCACCTGTTACAATTGATATCAGAGTCAGACCCACCTAAACTCAATCTGCGTTCGGTCAAAAAGTTAAGGGTTAATGAAATTTTGACTTACTATTAAAATGATTTGATATATTTAAATTATATAGTTTTATGAATTTAAAAATATCTATGATTTTTACAATTTAAAAATATGAAACACGAAAGTAATTTCATGTTTGTGATAATTTTTTTTTTTTTTTGACTATTTCTTTTTAATTTTGTAGAGTTTTTAGTTTTCTTTTTTTTTTTTTTTCCTTTCTTTCTTTTCTTTTTTTTTCTTTTCTTTTAATTATATTATGTATAAGAGATTCTTTCTTTTGTTAAGTCTAACGTAACTTAATCAAGTCAGATTGAGAGAATTTTTCCGCGTTTGATATCATTACTTTTGATGGAAATGAGGTACAATTAATGATACATCAATATTGACTATTATACATGGGAACAACGTATGGTAAAAAATGGATACTCGGAAGTATTTTGATTCCATAATTTTATATTAGAGATAACATTTGTATTCAATCTTCCTCTCCTTTTTTTTTTTTTTTTTAATCAAATGTTGAATTGACTACTAGATCCAATTTGCTGGTCCCACCAAAAAAGGGAAAAGAATTTGACGCTCTTCTTTTGTAGGAAAAATTAGGAAAATTCAATAGGGCCAGCGTCTTTACATGGACCATTTTTGTTTTTTTTTTATTTTTGCTTACTTGGACAAAATGAATAATGTGATTTTATTTTAATATTTGAAAAAGACACATGTGGATATTGACCATTGTTTCCACTTTTATATTTCATTCTTCAAATTCATTTCATATTATTTTCTTATTTCAAACTCCAATACCAAACTAAAAAGACCATATATCATAATCAAACTTTTGAGAATTACTCTTAAACAATATCAAGTTCGTTAATCTCGTACCTTAATTTGTGATCCAATGATATCTTTTCTACCTCTTAAAATAGACGATAAAAATAATAAAGTGCTATGAATAGCTGGAAGTATTTAATTACTGCAACTCCTAAAATATCGAATAACTTCTCGGTGCCATTTCTTTTGGATCATGACGAAGGAACTTACATTTTTCCTAGAATCAACCTCATGTCGTCAAAAATAAAAAATATTATCAATGCACACAAAACAAACCTCATACATAGTTATATATAAGCTAAACCAGGTTTTGGATAGTTGAACTGTCATCAAAATTATTCAAACATAATAACCACTTAATTTGTGCTGGTTTTTCCAAATGCGGAGAGTAAAAACAGTAGCTGGTAAAATCCATATATGATGTTACAGACAAGTTAACCAAATTGCAATGACAATGACACATCACAAACTAATCTAATAATGCCAAGGACGATGACTTCCCACTTTCACCAGCAATCGTTTTCTCGGGTTCAACACCAAATGTGGACTATTGGCTCAATTGCTATAGATCTCATCTCACCCAAAGGCTTGTTGCAAACCAAAAACAGTAAATGAAAATAACAATACAAGCAAAATATCATATTATTGCTGCCCCAAGATGTGGTCACTGTTGTAGTAGGCCTGGTTCGTAACCTAACGGAATCGATTATCGCAATCATCAATTTTTTTGATCTTGCACGTTGCAAGGATACCTATCTTTTTATAAATATAATTTATAAAAAATAACCTTTCTAGTGAATTTTAGTAATTTTTATTAAAAATTTTAAGACCATTTAACACAATTAATAATCTATTTATAATTTTAAGTTTGGGATTCAATTATATTTTTAACAAATTAATGAATAATAATAAATTTAATCATTAATAAATGAACATTCATACCATGTATTGATTGTCCCAATTTAAAAATAATTTTTTATTGCATTTTAGTGATTTTTATTGATTTTTTTTTTTAAGAACATAGAACACATATAATGAATTATTTATGAATTTTAAGTGGGGATCTAATTCTTTTGACAAAATTAATAAATAAATCTAAAAATGAGATAAATGGAATTCCTATCATATATAATACGTGAGAATTAAAAAATAAAAATATATATGGTATCTTTTTACATATGAAATAAATGTATTTATACTTTATATTAAAATTTTCTCTTTAAGTTCAATTCTTGTTATTTATTGTTCTTGCAAGTGTCAAGCTAATTAAATATTAAAGTAGCTCGTATAATAACAAAGGTGAGTAGTTGATGTTTGGTTCCGACTCGGCGCATTACTTGTAAATATCACACTTTTTTTTAACAGATATGACACCTTTGAAATATCACACCTTCTAGCAATATCTTCATGTCAAATGTAGCTAACATGTATTTGTAATGTCTTTTTATAATAAGGATCATCTGTCTTACATCAAATTCAAATAAAAAAATAATTGAGTATAAATCGGTGGGTATGTACCACTAAAAAAAAATTAAATAAAAGGTTCACATTAATGATATATATACTGGTGTTATAAGTAATTTGCCTTGAATGTTTGGATTTTATAAAGTCTCAAAGTTTTTGTATGAGTGAGATGGCTAAGTCAGTCTTAGCCCTAATGTCATTATGATGTCGATCTCACTTCTACATATCAATCTTCCATATTAATTCCTTTATCAGAATTGAAGAATTTGCAGGGTTGGCGAAGTGTTTTGTGCCTTTTCACTTGCAAGAAGTAGCTCAGGATGGTGCTAGAGTTTTGCTTTGACAAATTGCAAAAATTGAAAGCTGAAAACTATTTGAAGGTGATCAAGCGTCCTCTAGTCTAGTGGTACTTCTTTGCCTTTTAAAATAGAAGATCGATGGTTTAAATTTCAGTACGGGTAAAAATGAGTGTGTGAGTGTATTTCTTGTTAATAAAAAATAAAAATAAAAACAAATTTTCTTGACGGTGACCATTATGTTTGAGTGGTATATACTATTCTTTCAAAATGAAAGGTAAAGAATTCAAGGATTAAAAAAAATAAAAAATAAAAATAAAAAACTATTTGAAGGGTGCCATATATTAAAGAAAAATAACATTATAAATTCAAGGAACCATGATTATGCACAATATTTGCAAATGTCCTAAGCTCGTTGGAGGGTTTTTCTTGTCCAATATAGGGCTGTTGTGGCCACTAAAAATAGTCAAGCTTCTGTACTTCGTGTTAGACAACTTAGACCCATACTAGTGTTAGAGCTAGGGGGATTTGATGAAAAAATTAATGGGTATAGATGAAAGGATAGACAGCACTACTCAACTTAAGTTTTTGGGTCATTGGCAAACGCCTGATCCATTCTAATTGATATTAGAACTAGAGTTCGAAAGTTGGACATATCTTATGACCATATCATCCATCAAGGTTTTTTTTTTTGTTTTTGATATGATTAGTGAGAAGTGAGAACAAAAAGAAAATATGAATACACTTGTGTTGTTGGACTTTTAAACTTAATTTTTATTTTTACATTCTTACCTCATGAGATTTTAAACTTTGAGCTAAGCCCCATAGCTTTATGTTAAAATATGAATACGCATATATTGTCGGATGTTTCACGTATCCGAACTATGACCTTACGGTGTCCATCTAAAAAATAACAATCAATTAAAAATATGGACTCTTTGACGTGTTGGATACATGTCCGACTATGTCCCCAGCATGTCCATGTTTGACATCACCATTGCACTTTCGATGAAGTGTCCGTACTTCTAATTTCTAAGGCTCAATTCTTCACCTAAATCAATTTGTAGAAAAGAGACTAATTGTTACAAGGAGAGACTTGTCACACATTGGATTTTCAGATGGGAAGTGAAATGGGTATAAATAGGTGAGTATGCAACACTATCTAATAGTTTAAGTTTTTGGATAAATGGACAAGCGCCCATCCATTATAATTGATTTCAGAACCAAACTCAATCTTTAATTCGGTGTCATGCCAAGCGCCCGACCCGGAAGGCGTTCAGGTGAGCCACCCGAGTAGGCAAGATGGCCCAACCGCAACTAGAACATTGCGAATTTGGATGGAAGAGAATGTTACAAGAAGAGACTTGTCCCTCATCAAATTCGAACGAACAACTGACACAAAGATGAGAGATTGAATAGGATAAATATAAAATATCATATGTCCGGTTGCATTCCCGGCATGTCCATTTTTAACACCGCCACTGCATTTTTGACGGGGTGTCCGTGCTTCCTAGCCTCTAAGTCTCAATTCTTCACCTAATTCAATTATTTGTAGAAAAGAGGCTATAATCATAACAAAACAACGGGCACAAAGATGAGAGATTGCAGAACATGAAAGAGGGTAAAGAACCAACATCATAAGAGAGAAATGTACAGAAACTATACATAATATACGAAATCACAACCAATAAATCTGATAAATCAAACTGCTATACTGTACGAATTTCACAACCAATAGATCGAACGTGACTGAACTGTTCGAAACCCCTGGTTCGGTTCAATAATGGTTTCCAATTCAAAAAACTGAAGAACCCGTACTAACAATTCGATTCCAGTTTGGGGTAGAAAAGGATTCCGGTTTGGGGTTGAAAAGAACCAAATCTTAGTGGATAATATTATATATAATATATATATATATATATAATTTTATTGGTAGAGAATATAACCTCCCCCACATGATAATAAATAGGATAATCATATATAAAATTTCAATTTTTGACATCAAACAGCCGAACCGAACCAAACCAATAACTTACATTTTCAATAGTTTTATCGGTTCGGTTTGAAACCGTTGGTTCCAGTTTTATACCATTCTTGTTTATCCTAGAAACAGACAAAACCAACCATGTGCACTCTAGCTGCATGTTGCTTAAACAATCCCTTTTTAGCTAATTAACACAACCACCGCACAATACCTGCGAAATGGTGAAGAAGAGAGAGTACCGGAAGGTTCATATTTCTTAAACTACAAATCTTATAAAATAATAACACAATCACCATATTAACTTATAGCATTCCACTGCCAGACACGGCTATGGAAAAATCAAAGAACGATGTTTAAGAAAATGCAAAACTTTTCTATGCTCCATCAATAGATCCCAAATAACTTTTTTTAAACAAAAAATAATAATAATATTAAAAGGTACTTACTACATGCTAAGGACATTGACAGGTCAATAGTACGCCGAAGCTTACAACAAATTCTTTTTATCCCAGAAATACTAAAAGCTTCAACTGGCACAAATGGTGCTTGAGAACAATCCCGTCTCATCAGCCGCTGTGACTTTGGTATCTGGAATCTGAAAATTGTTCCAATCAGTCTGCTCTCAGAAGTTTTATTTGTTACAAGCACAGCAAGTTTCCAAGAACGCAGTAGGTCAACGAACTGGCTAAAAGTCTCTTCCTTTGTATGGCATTTCCTGTCAAAACAAAGTATTAACTCAAATAAGTTGCTTAATATTTGATCCAATTGCAAGGATGAAGGAGATTATTCTACATGACGAGCATGGAGGATCCAATCAGTCACTAGTCAAAACTGGGGTACGTGATTCCTGAGATAAAAAAGAACAGTTAAAATAACCATGGCGGATCAGTGAGCGTATTTAATAACACCCCACCATACGGTTCAGTGGAAGGAAAGGTGCATATTTCTATATTTTCCAATTTGTAAAGAAAGTAAAGCAGTCATATAATAATTGTCCAATGGAGAACAAGTTGCCTTCTGAATTTGAATAAGTTCGCAATCGTTTAGAAAGTATCAGTGCTCAGTCTCGTGGTATGGTATTGGAAACAAACTCCACCTAGATAATTTCAGAAATAGAACATGACTTCCTTAAACTACTAACATGTAAAAAGAAAAGAAATTTTCTTACAGGGGGATATGTTGGCATGTACAAGACTTGACGAGGGTGACCAAGAATCATCTGCTGCCCATACTGCAATGACAATGAGTACAAATATTACAATCAGTCTTTTTTCACAACAAAATGTGGAGAAGAATACCCACACAGCCCCAAAATAACCACAAAGCATGCGTACCTGAGGTCCATTTGGATGAAAATACGCCTGCGGTGATTGCATTTGCGCGGCCTGCGGATTGAATAAAACAGGCTGGTGTCCAGGAAATGATGGTCCAATCTGAGAACAGAATGTAATTGATACTGTTGATCAACCCTAAAGTATGCCCCATAACTATAAAGAATCATGCTATGGACATTTTATTGCCCATCTAAGAGTTTTGGAACTGCATTTTCTTTTTCCAACAAACACAAATGCGCCACTTTTCATGCGTTCACATATGTTCCTAATGAAATACCATTCATATTGATGCCCTAAATCTTCACCAGTACTCCTAATAATATTGAACTTCATAGAATAAGAAGATGGCAATATATACAAAAGATTGATTAAAATAGCAAGCTTGACTCCATGATGGCTCATGTCTACTTATTCTTAAATTATAAAGCCTAAATTAACCACTAAGTTCATAAAAAATGGAACCCAGATACGATCGCATTATAGGCATAATAGAGAGAAAACTAACTCCATTATAAAAAGGATCATCATTGCACCAAACAATACTATGGAGAAGCAGTGTCCAAAAAGGAACAATTAAACAAAACAAAACCTAAAATAAATTAAAAAAAACTAATTTGTTCCACGTCATAATAAATATAGGTGGAAACCAAAAAAACAAATATCTCAGCAAAGAAAACTCAGACTGGCATTAACGAACACTACATATGGACAAATCTTCAGGAGCCAGGCTAATTAGTAATGTAGACAGGATTCAAGTATTAAAAACAAATTTTGATCCACGCACACAAACACAGCTGTGTTATGAAGCAGGCATAGGTAACTTGTCAAAATGGTCCATATCACACCTTGGCTATCATTCTGTAACTTGGAACTAAAAAACCGGTTAAGGCACAAACTGGATATATTGAACTACTCACCCCAATAGGCACACCATGCATTTGAGGGACAGCGGCAACATTAGATGGAAAATAAAAGGAACCATCAGACACTGGAGAGGAAGGCCTTAATGGTGTCTGCGTTGGGATGAAACTTTTTGCATTGGGATTAAGTCTGAATTCCTGTAAAAACAATCAAAAGGAGATGAAACAAGATATAGCAAGATTTATTAAATGATATGCTTATTACGCTTACAGGCAAAAGCACATGCAAGTGTGTGTGCGTCCGATTTGGGGGTGGAAGTTTGGGGAGGGCTGGGGCAGTCCTCCATTTTATCTTGAGAAGGGGGTACACCTCATCAAAAAATTAAATAAAAGAAAAGGAAAAAGAAAAAATTAAAGTAAATCCCACCTTAGCATGGGGATTCAGGGTTGACTTTTCTGAAGACAATGAATTCAATGATGAGCTGGGTGATATTGCAGGAGGAGCACTCAAAGCAGAGGCAGCACCTCCACAATCTGAAGTAGATGAGGTAGAACTACCAGGTCGTCCACGAGAGGCTGCAGATTGCGTTGCTCCTTGTGTTCTGATAGATGCTGCATCCTCCAATGTGTCACTAGGAGAACTTGTCTTCTCCTGAGACTTGGATGACGAAACATGAGAGGGAGCATATGCGACAGCATTTGGTGATAATCCCCCTTTATCAGAGCCATCTTTCTTTGCACTCAGTGATGACTGTGAATCTGCATAAACAATTGTTTTCGATGGTGAAAACATCAAATTTGATGATATGACAATCACATGAAAGATTTTATCGCTGGTAAAGAAAATGAATTCATGCAAATTAATGTAAAGAATGATATTGATATCAACGTTTACAGCGATAAATCGCACTTCCAAGTGTATTGATAATTAATTATTTATTGGGGTTCGAATAAGCACTGTACCAGTGGAATCTGCAAGAAAATAAAAACATCCCAGAGACTAAAAAATTTGATTCAAAAATTGCACAGCAGAAAATTTAGGATCAACGAACAGGTAGCCCTTAACTTCCATGTATCATTGATACTTAATAATCAATTATTAAGTTTGACACGAACTCGACCATATGAGTTAGTGACCGAGACACCAGATCCTATGCATTAGGCTTTATAGTTATTTCTGAAGAGGATAACAGACATTTTAGACAAGCCCACAAAAAGACAAGAAAGCCAGTTTCGATTTGTGTCTAAGGTTTGACACTAACAAAAATTGCATTGTAGAAGAGTTAGAAAGGGGAATATTAATATATGAAACATGTTATTTAGGAAAATATATATATATATGAAACATGTTATAGAGTCAGATGCAAGCACACACATGCCAAAATCTTTGGTAGATTTAAGGCAGGAATCCATATGCCAGATATAGTAGAGAAATCTAAAATTATGTTAATGTTCATAACTGCCTAGAAAAAGTCGGCATCCAAGCAATTCCAGATCCAAATTGCAACTACGGCAGCGGATGCACATGAAGTTTTCAAAATCACTAATTAATTTAAGACAGGAACTCATATTCCAGACACATTAGACATTTTCCATCATTTAAATGTAAACAACTTTTTAGAAGCCTATCCTTCTGGCATCCTAGCAATTTCAATTGCAAATAGAAGGTGTGGCAAGGAGGGTTCTAAGGCTCAAACCTTAATTTGGCACATGCTAGACTATGGGGGGTCCACTTGGAGTCTTGCATGATTAGGGGGTTTGGTCAAATTGCATTATTTTGGTAATTGCATTAATTATGGTGAAATTTCATTGTTTTGGTAAATTGCATCAATTAAGTTATTTGTTATTTTATTAAGCTAGAGTCCACTTTTGATTACCTCCATTGTAGGGTAATCCAAGGGTCATCCTTTATTATAAAAAGGATATTATGTAATTCTGATTACTCAGTCAATAAATGAATAAAAATATACTTTTTGAGGTTTCTTTGTGAGTGATTCACAAATTCTGACGGTGTGAGGCCTTCTCTAGGTGTGATACCTAGGCGATGTTGGTTCCAATAGGTTTTTTATTGTTTTCAATCCTCTCTCTCTACCAATATGTTTATTTGAATTTCCAGCCACTTCTCCTTTGTTTTTCTACATTTCTACTATCGAACCTCCAAATTTAAGAGTTAGTTCTTTGGACTTTCAACCTCTGAACTCTTTGTTCTTAACTATTTAAGGCTTCTCCCTTGTCCTACATCAGTTTTTGATATCAGAGCCTGAGTTGACATCATGTCGACACAATCAGGAAATGAAAGATCGGGTAGTTATCAGCGAGATGAGCTGATATTTAAGCTTGTGGAGCAGCTTAATGGGTTGAATATCCGATTCAATGAGTTAGAAGCTTGAATGTGTCAACCTATTAACAATTTTGCTTCTGTTGAACAAGTAACTGCATCCAGTACAAATGATGGCAGTGGTCAAGAGCAACAACATTCTTTAACTGTGCAGCAAAGGCAGAATATGAGGGCTGATCCACCACCACACCCAATGTTCAAGTTTCCGAGAAATCTGCTGGGAATGAATTATCGTGTGCCACATACTAACGCTGGGGATATCACAAAGAAAATTAAAATGGAGGTGCCAGATTTTGAAGGTAAGGTTGATCCTACTGTATTTTCGGATTGGCTTGCTTCGATTGAAGAATATTTTGATTGGTATGATATGAGTGATGATCGTGGAGTGAGATTTGCTAGAATGAAGCTTGTGGGCCTAGCAAAAATATGGTGGACTGGTGTTGAAGGGGATATTAGGAGGCTGGGACAACCACCAATCAGCAATGGCAAGAAATGAAGGCAAAGCTTCGAGAGAAATACATGCCGGCCAATTACCGTGACAAACTGTGTGATCAACTTATCAATCTAAAGCAGGGTAGCATGTCAGTAGTAAATTACATGCAAAGATTTTATGAGTTAAAGACTAAAAGTCAAGTTGTGGAAGACCCGCGGCAAACACTTGCAAGAGTCAAGGCTGGTCTAAGATCTGGTATCAGAAGAGAATTGCTTCGCCAGTCATTATATGGTGTTGAACATGCTTTTCAGGTTGCATTGGACATGGAGGAGTACTTGAGTTATCAAACGGCTCGAAGATCTGGATATCAAACCTGGGAGGCAGCACCCAAAAAGTCCAGTGATGGAAATCGCAGCACACAATCAGTAGCAGCGCAGCCGAATGGTGGAAATGCTGATCAAAACTGCCCTTTTCTAACATGGCTGATCCTAAAGGGAAGAGTTTTGTGGCCAGCAAAGGTAGTAGAATGGATAACAAGTGCTTCAAATGTGGAGAAACAGGTCGCCTGGCATACCAATGTCCAAAGAAAAATTTACACATTGAGATAATGCATGAAGAAGAGCCAGAAGAACAAGGGGGAGACGACAATGGGAACATGTTTGACTATGGGACCTACAACCCTGATGATCTAGAAGAGGATGAAGATGTTCCATTAATCTCCGTCGTGAGGCACATCCTTGCAGCCCCTAAAGTTGAAGATGAAGATTGGCGACACAAATCTATTTTTCAAATGCTAGTTCGTTGTGGGAATCAAGCTCGAAAGGTCATTATTGATGGCGGAAGTTGCATGAATGTGGTGTCTGCAGCCACGGTTGAGCGCCTAAGCTTTCAGTCCAACCACATTCACAACCATTCAAAGTGGCATGGATAGATAGTACTTCTATTCCGGTAACTCAACGTTGTCTCGTTTCTTTCCTTTGTGGAGCTTATAATGAATCTGTTTGGTGTGATGTAATTCCCATGAAAGTGACACATATTCTCCTTGGGCAGCCTTAGATTTATGATCAAGATGTGTATCATTGTGGGAAGGAGAATACATACACTTTCTTGTTTAACAACAAACAGATTATTTTGAAGCCTATGTTTTCAGGTGAAATGGAAAAATATAAAGGTGGACAGGCTGTAAATGATGCAAAAAGCAAGAAAAAATCCCTCAATCTTCTTTCCAAGAAGAGGTTTCAATTGGAAAGTAAAGAGACTGGTGTAATATATGCTGTTGTAGCAAGGGAAATCAAAGAAACTGCTGTTGTTCATGATTCTTCAATGCCATCAGAGGTCGCCAACTTGCAGTCAGATTTCTCGGATTTGTCTCCCAAAGTTCTCCCCAACTCTATGTAATATCCAGCATGAGATCGACTTTGTACCAGGGTCTCCATTGCCTAACCTTCCAGCTTATCATTTGAATCCAAGCGAGCAAGCCGAGAGGCAAGTTAATGAGTTGATGTCGAAAGGATTTATCCGTGAAAGCTTAAGTCCTTGTGTCGTCCCAGCTTTGCTCACACCAAAGAAGGATGGTAATTGGCGCATGTGTGTTGACAGTCGTGCCATCAACAAGATTACAATCAAGTATTGGTTTCCTATTCCTTGAATCGATGATTTGCTAGACATGGTGGCTGGTTCTTGTATATTTTCAAAGATAGATCTGAAAAGCGACTACCATCAAATTCGCATAAGGCCCGGGGATGAATGGAAGACAGCTTTCAAGACAAAAGATGGACTCTATGAGTGGCTTGTTATGCCATTTGATCTTTCCAATGCCCCTAGTGCATTCATGCGCTTCATGACTCAGGTATTGCAGCCCTCTATTGGTCGATTTCTGGTTGTTCACTTGGATGATATTTTAATCTACAGCAGAACGAGGGAGGAACATATTTCCCACCTTCAACAAGTTATGAGAGTTCTCCGCCAAGAGAAGCTTTACATGAACTTGAAGAAGTGTTCCTTCATGTTGCCAAGTGTGGTGTTTTTGGGCTTTGTTGTTTCTTCCAAAGGGGTAGAAGCTGATCCTGATCAAGTGAAAGCGATTCTAGATTGGCCAATTCCCAGCACATTGCAGGAAGCGTGGAGTTTTCATGGGATAGCTTCATTCTATCGGCGATTTATTAGAAATTTCAGCACAGTAATGGCCCCTATCACCAATTATATGAAGAACAGCCAGTTTGTTTGGACAAAGGCAGCAGCACAGACTTTCGAAGAAGTGAAGAAAAGAATGAGTGCAGCTCCTATTTTGCGCCTTCCAGACTTCTCAAAGTGTTTGAAATTGCCTGTGATGCTTCACAGGTTGGAATTGGAGGCGTGCTCAGTCAAGGACATCATCTTGTTGCATATTTTAGTGAGAAACTTAATGAAGCAAAACAAAGAAGTGGCTGGAAATTCAAATAAACTGATGGGTAGAGAGAGAGGATTGAAAACAAGAAAAAACCTATTGGAATCACTCCAACAGGGCCTAGGTATCACACTTAGAGAAGGCCTCACACCCTCAGAATTTGTGAATCACTAACAAAGAAACCTCAAAAGGATATTTGTATTCATTCATTGACTGGGTAATCAGAATTACATAATATCCTTTTTATAATAAAGAATGACCCTTGGATTACCCTACAATGGAGGTAATCAAAAGTTGCCTCTAGCTTAATAAAGTAACAAATAACTTAATTGATGTAATTTACCAAAACAACGAAATTCAACCATAATTAATGCAATTACCAAAATAATGCAATTTGACCAAACCCCCTAGACTCCAAGTGGACCCCCATCGTCTAGCATGTGCCAAATTAAGGTTTGAGCCTTAGAACCCTCCTTGCCACGCCTTTTATATACTTTAAAAGGCTGCTGCCACTGTTCTCTACCACAGTAGAAGCAGCAGATGAAGTATTCAATGTTCCTGGCATAGGTAGTCCCTCCTGATTTTTCAAGATAATCATATTAAAAACAGAATCAGGGAAGTCATATCAAATGCTGACATGAATATTACCGGACGAACAACAATATAGTTGTAACCTATAAGGAGTCGCCACTTCCATATGAACTTCAATATGCACTCTACATGATTTCAATACTCATTCCTGACCAAAAATTTGCTCGTGACTAATGACCACCCTTTATCCACTTGGTAATCCATACTCCTGAAACTGATCGAGGTTCTGCAATGCTGCTATTTATAAACTATATTTCAAGGTGGTTAACCTACATCAGAAGCTCCAAATGGAACATATATAATCATATTCTTATCATAATTTGATCGGGAATCGAGACAACTCCATGGCTTATGTTGTTTACCGATTATATATAACAGTACTGGATATTTCTAAGAAAGTCTAAGACTCTAAGCAGTAAAATAAGAAACATTGAGCAATACAATAGAGTTAAAAGGCTTATAAATATATTGAATTTATATATATATATATATATTGTGGTAAAACCTAGTATTTCAGAAAAAAATAATATAATGATAACAATTTAAAACCAACTGATTACTTAAAATAACCATTTTTAAGGGGCGTATCAAATTCCCTCTCTACTTTCTAAACTTCCACTCCACTTGAATCTCTAATACATGAAATGACAAAATTACCCCCAAAAGTGGAGTATATGAGTAATTTTCAAGATATCAATTCTCAATAGGGACATCATTTTGGCAATCAACTTTCTACACTGCCACTCCACCAGCATTTTTAATAAATAAAATGACAAATTTACCCCTCAAAAGTGGAGTATATGAGAATTTTTTTTAAAAATAGTGGAATGTGTAAGTTTTTACAGGACAATTATGTTATTTCCTTTAAAGAAAAAAGCAAGTAGAGTGCAAGTGAAGACAAGTGGAATATGTATATCATTTCCTTTTCTTTTTTTCTTTTTTACAATATTTAGAATCAATAGGACTGAGAGATATATGATGTAATTAATAGTTAGTGGTATTATATGTGATAAAGGAGTATCAATGAGTTATCACTGAAAAAAAAGATATATATATATATATATGAATATATATCAATAAGTTAATAGGAAAATCCTATAGGATATTCATTAAGTCAGATATCTTACACAGAGCATTGTGTTAGCATTATATATATATATATATATAAGAATGAAAAAAAAAAAAAAACGAAAGAAAGAAAAAGGAAAAGAAACAAGAACAACAACATTCATGTAGATGAAATGAAAATGCTAAGATGGATGAGTAATACCCCAAGTTTCAAAACAAGGTTCTTTGGTGAGTGATGGTGGCGATTCTTTAATGCCAGGTATTGTGGAGCCTTCTTGTAGAATATATGTGGGCTAGTGTGAGGATGTATGTGTTACTGCATGACTGTATTAGGTGTGCCAACACTAAGATAACGTGTCCACTTGTTTGACCCATACACTCGTTTGGACTGAACAAATTAATGTGAGAGGGTCTTAGCATGGACAGCTAGATTCATCTTTGTATAATACAATATGGTACTATTAGCTCAGCAAAGTTATCAAAAGAATTCTCCGGAACCACTTGACCTGATGAGGTTATTAGGTAAGGTAAGATAATATATAGACACGCTAACAAAGCTTAAAAAAACAAAAAAACAAAAAAAAAAAAAGGAGAGGAGGAAGGATGCATGTGTCACATCAAGAGCAAGTGGAGGATCTCTACACCCCACATTAGAAACACCTGTACCTATATTTATATATTATAAAAGTAACTTCAGCTTCTAAAGGAAGCTTTCTATATGGTTCTAGTGAATTGTACTGTGTATATATTGGTAGAAAATAAAGGGGAGCACAGGAGAGAACAGAAACTCTTGGTCCAAACGATAGAGAGAGAAAGAATGAGAGAAGAAAAAAGACATATAGCAAAGACCCAATTTGGCCAACTTCTCTGCGAGTTTCTGCATGGTAAGAACAGGTTGTGTATTGTTTGGTTCCAGGGCATGAGGGTTGTTTGGAATTGCTCTTACAGTTCTAAGGTTTCTTAGAAGTGGCAATTTTGAGGAGAGAAGAATAAAGAAGAAAAGAGGAAAAGAAATGGAAAGCAAAGATTGGGGAAAAAACTTCAAAGAAAGGTAGGTTATCCTTCTCTTTTAAACTTCTTGAAAATTAAATTGTTGGTTTCCAATAGCTAAAATAATAGAAACTTCTACAAGTTGTTTTCCTCACGTGAAAACTATGGAATTTGATTATCAAATTGTTTTATTTAGCATGAAAATGATTGTGAATTATTAGACCTTAAATTGGCTATCTGTGTTGAAAAAAAAACATTTCTGAATTGAATGATTTTGGTTTAGAGCTGAAAATAATATATTTTGAATTGTTATTTATATTTGAAATTTTGCAGTATTAAATTACACTACTTAAAGAATTTCTGGGTTTTGATTTGAATTTAAAATGTTGAGAATTGAATTTGTTACAAATTTTTGAATTTGTATCATCAGAACGGCTGTGGAAACTGAAATTCTGGAAAGAATTATAATACTTTTTTCCTTCAATAATTTAGCTTTCTAATGGCTTTAGTCTCATGTCATTTGAGCTAATATTTTATTTTTTATGAATTTTTAAAGATGGGTTGTTTTTGCTGAAACTATTCAGAACAACAGTGTCTTTGAGTAATTTTAGATCCTACCTATTTTTTATTTGAGAAAGAAAGTTTGGAAGATGAAAACAGATATTTAATGGTTTCTCCATAAATTTATTTCATCATTTGAAATGAAGTACTCTATTTTCAATGGATTTTCTAGTATGAGCTATGGGCCTATGGTTGTGGACCAAAAATAGTTTGTGGAATGAAAATGGTATAAAGTTATCTACGTTGATATTTGGCTTTGGGTCCCTCAATTGTGTATGTGTCTAGCATGAAATAGGTAGGGTAAGAACTCCCTTAGGTTGAAATACCTTAAACGGCCCGGGTTTAACGAGGGCTGAGGGGGTGTTCACGGTCCCTGGGTGCGAGCCCCATAAAGCCGAAGGACAGGGGCGGTGGTCCCAGGGGAAGGTCCCTAAAGGCGCATAGGGTACACATTGTTGGACCAGTTATTGTATCGATGATCTCCTCGGATTTGCTGTTCGGAATGTATTATTTGAGTATTTATTCTTGGTGATTTTAAAGTTTGTAGCTAGAAAATACATGTTGGATTATGATTATTATTATCATTTACTAAGATTCAGCTCCTTAATCCCATTGTTCAGTTCCTTTTTCTAAAAAGTGTAAAAAAAAAAAATTCGGTCAATTGTTCAAAGAAATGTTTTTCTACTAAAAATTTATCTATTCTTCAGTAAATCCGGAAGCCTACTGGGCTCGTTTAGCTCACCCTATTTTCTTCTAAAAAACTTACAGGTGCTAGAAGGGTTAGCAATCTACATAAAACTATAAGGTGTCCGTGAAGTGTTCGATGACTTTAGTTAATAGATTTTTATCTCATTGTTCTTTCTTTGAGGTTGCCTAAGCACTATTTGACTGATGGAGCATTTTGGTGAGTAATGTTTGGTGAACTTGAATTTTAATTTAACTTGGAATGTCCTAGAGATGAATTTGAGTCTTGGAGCTGTTAATGGTTTGAGAAAGTAAATTTTTGGTTGGTGGTTTCTATAAATGCTAGTTATCTCACGCGCAGTGGGGAGCGGGGCCTGACAGATTATGAGCGATGAGATAAGGTTACCAATAACAAAGAGAGGGAGAAATTAGGAATGATGCCTTCAGGAAAACTGACTTAAGTCGTATGTACATATACAATGAAGTAGAGGAAGCACCACTAAAAATATAAAGTTAATTTGTTTAGAAGGTAAGAGATAGAGCTCAACCAAATAATGCAGTACAGTTAAACAGAGAAAAAGTTGTATCTTGCGCGATTCATCTAGGCAGAGATATCTGCATTAGCTGAAAGCTATAGGCAAGAAAGTTTACTCACCCTCGGATTTTGATGTCCGTGCATCCTCGGCTAACTGCATCAGCGTGTATAGAAATAAAGTTGTTACGAAGCATCTATTAGCAAACAAACCAAAAGCAACGAAAAGAGGCACCTCGAATGTACATGGATTAGTCAAACCATAACTCACCGTCAGCTTTTCTACATACTCCTTAATGTAATTACTTCCAGCGTGCTGTTCACTGGACTGGTTCTCTTGAATCCTATAGTTAGAGAATATTGAATAAGTTACACGTGATAGCAATTGAAGAATAAAAATATCAGTCTGTCAGTTCTCATGACAATACAAGCAACATATCATCAGTATTCAAGATCAACATATAATCAGCAAAGACAAGAAGGAACCTGCTTTCAACATCAAAGGCTGAGAACTTTTCTGAAAGTTGTTCAGATGACAGCTGTCTGGCATTATCACTAGAACCAGACCGGTATAAATCCCTGCCAGTACTTGTCTGAGAAGATTGTATCTCTTCCTGCGTACAACAAAAGACAAAAAGAAAAATAATAATTATCTTAGATTAGAAGAGGCCAAGTCACCATATTCAAGAATAAGAATATGGATGGCGAAAAGTAAGTAAACAATGGACATATTACACACACTCACGCACATGCAGACAAACAAAGGGGAAAAAAAGCTTGAAATCGATGTTTGAGAGCCAGTCAGTTAATTTTATTCAGATGACAAGATGATGTTCTGGGAAAGTCTTCCAGTTGGCATAGACTGAACATTTGCAATTGCTTGTCAAGGGCTCAAGGCCATTACACCTACTTAATGAATATTTTACAACATAACAAATGCTTTTAAGCTGGGTTTACAGTAGGGTACTAGTTACCGTTAAAACCTTAGAAATGAGGCTTGGAGAAAAAGGTTATATCTCCTGCCTCATGTACTGAGGTAAATCCATTTAGTTGGTTAGCTAGAAGAACTGATCAGAAAGAAAATAATGCAAATTTGTACAGTTATCCATGATTGGGAAAGAAAAAAAAATTGATTAAAAAGTTGGGAGAATACCATACCATAGATGAAGAGTGTGATGACAATTGAGCTCCAACATTACTTTTCCCACTGGTCAAGTCAGTAAAAGCCCTGCTAACAGCGGAACCAGAGTCATCTCCAAAGGTTTCAGTATTGCGTGAATCCAACAATATATCTTCATGGTCATCATATCCACTGTCATCAACCCCCCTAAAGACCGATGAGAATCTGGTTTCTTCATCAATATCAAAGTTTTCATGAAGATGAATGCCTCTTTCCTAGTAAAAAGAACATGTGAAGCATGAAATAAGGAGAAAATCTTGGGGAAAAATAGCTAAAGAGGTCATAAACTGAGGTTAGGATGATCTCACCTCTGCTAAATGGAGGTCTTGAGTTTCCTCACCCTCAATTTCTCTGGCTATTCTGGAAGCTTCCATTTCCAACTCTCTCGTCTGAGGACCTCTCTCAAGTTTTGTTGTATACAGTTCCTCATCAAATGTGCTCTTTACCCCAAACAACGCTTCGTTTGCTTCAAATTGATCCCAGCCCCTAATAAGTACAATTAATAAAATTGACTGAGAAACTGCAGTCAACTAATTTCATTAGTAAATGAATATTTGAATTTAAAATCACGCATACACTAAATTGGCCTCAACCCAACAATCTGAATTTGACAACAGCAATCTTCTTTGCATACCACTATGTGTAGACACCCGTTTTTGTTAGGCAATTAGCTCTACTTCAATACGTTAAGCCACATTCCTTTAGTGCCTCAATTTTTTTCATAGCATCATGTCTATGACTTTAACCGCATTGCTTCGACTTAAATCATGTTAAACAAATAGGATCCAGAAATTGCGCTACAGGTGATGAGCATATGTAAGGATGAAAATTTTATTCTACCTAAATATTGAAGTTAACTACAAGAGATTTCGATTTATGTAGAACTAAAAAACAGTAATGCCTATTGAATTAAAATGATTCCTAAAAGACTAGTTTATCAAAAGTTGAATATTCGTTGGGGAAAAGGATATAAAGATGGTTTTTAGGACAATACTTTCATTGAGGCCATTCAATTAATGTGATCACCTAATCTTCTTGATTCTATTGCTTGATCAAATCACGTAATCTTCTCGGTTCTATTACTTAATAAATCTCAAAATAGTGAATACATTAACGAATGAGGAAAACATTCTAGTGCCTTGTATGGCTGCAAAAGTGACAAAGAACAACAGTTGCACCAACTACTGTTTTATTCAACATCGGGTCAAGCTAAGTTACTTTGGTATATAATAATTTAAGACTTACAAAGGTATCCAAAAAAAAAAATCAAGTTGATGCCATGTAAAGATTGGAAAGTGACGCAGTTTATAAGAAACTCAAGAAAAAAGAAATCTCAAAATTTGAAAGGCCCACTTAGGACCTTGCAAGTAGAGTCCATTTTTATGTCTTCTTAACATAATTTAATGCTGGTATAGATTTATCTATATTTTCAATGTTCTAACTTCGAGTCCAGATTATTTAGTGATTCAAAATTTTCTTAATGTACTGTGTATTTTTTTTTTTTTTTTGATAAGTAAAAGAATGATTTTTCTTAATGTACTGTGTATTAAGGATCTCTGGGACATAATTTGCATCAAGTTGTGGTATTTGGGAATATAGCGTGGACTTTACTAGAATTATATATATTACACTAAACAAAGTCTCTACTCTCTACGTTTCTCAATATGAAAACCCAGTCCTAGTAGGGCCAGAACTAGACTTAACTTTTCTTATTTTTTGTTAATAGGTTGGAACGAAATAAAGCATATGTATATAAAAAATAAAAATCAAAAATCAAAGCTTTTGAAGCTCGTCGGAATTGTGCAATTGCAACCATAACCCAAAGTGAAATGCCCAGAAGACCTAGGAATAATTTCTAGGATCTCCTTCTAATTGCTACTTCTCTGGCTTTTATTTGATTCTCCACAAATATGATATACTATTTTAGTCAAAATTGGCCAAAAAATTCATTGGTTCTTCAACCTAAAAGCCTACTCTCACAACCCTAATCTTTGCCCTACAATGTAAGCCATTTCCTTGACACTCAAAACCCAAAAATAGGTGTGGTCCAGAAATTCCAATAACCTTTAACTTCGATCCACCAACATAGCACTTAAACAAGCATAACTCCTTTCCATATTCAATCATTTACCAACCACCCACAAGAAAACCAGTCACTATTTACTATAACCAGGAGAACAGCCCCCATCATGTAGCAGCAAACCTTGCTCCTTTCTTACACCTTTACAAGCCCTAAAACTCCATATCATCACCAACCTTTAGCCATATCAAGCTAATAATAGTAATCAGCCTCAAAAACACCCTTTTAGCATTGTCCCATGTCAATTATTGTGCCCGAGATTGCAAGAGGGTGTATTTGCAGTTGTCCTACATCAAAAAGGGCTCAACCAAACTCCGAATGAGCTATTTTCTTCCACGAGCAATGAAGTGAAGTCAAAAAAGAGAAGAAAAATCTCTGTATGTTATTCATCACATCTTAAAAAAAAACATGCAACATGGAGCATAGAGTGGTTGTGTAGCTGGTTTAAGACAGAAAAAATGGCTATGAGTAGATACATTGATGCAATGAGACACATGCACGACGGAGAAGTAATAAATGTTAGAAGAAATAGACATGACACAAGTGTACAGAAATTTACAAAATATTGACAGATGGTAAATATTGAGCAATCTTTTGACTCTATAACCAAGGTTCACGGTAAAGAATAATAAGCAGTCAATAAAGATAATTTAAGTATAGCTTGACTGAGGATGCTATGACCAATGAGATGCAATACAAGAAACACCATAGCAAAAAATGAATTCATTTGTGATAAAATGACCAGCATGGAGAAGTAACGGATATCAAAACAATTAGAAGTAACGTAACTGTATTGAAATATGCAAAATGTTGACAGCTGGTAAATATTAAGCAATAACATCTTTTGACGCTGTAGCCAAGGTTCTTAATCATGGAAAAGAATGATTAGCAGTCAATAAAAATAATCTCCAAGTATAGCTAGAATGAGGATACTAAGACCAACGAGACATGCACAAGAAAAAATGTAGCAAAAAGTGAATTTATTCTTGATAAAATGACTGGGACAGCCAAACCAAGAATAGAGCTTCAAGGTTTTTGGAGATATGTGTGCACATTTGCAAGACAAAGTTACTTGCCAAAACTATAAAAACACTGGTACACTTATTTGTCAATATAAATCATAACTGACGATACCATATAAAAGTGCATGTTAACTATTTCATACAAATAAATACAAAAATAAAAATATGACAACGACCTCAACATTTAGAACAGAACCCTCATCAACAATTCAATCTCTTCTAAGTTTCTCATATTCCTTCGATCCAATAAAAATAAAAAGATGACAACGAACTCAACATTTAGAACAGAACCCTCATCAACAGAACAATCTCTTGTAAGTTTCTCATATTCCTTCAATCCAATCCTACATAAACATGAAACTTCCCAACTAGCTCTAGACATGTCCCATACTCTACAGGAGCTATTTAGAATTTTCGTTCATAGTGTATATTTTAAACTAAAAATAGAACAAAAATCTACCCACGCATTCTAAACAATTTAGTATCAACAAATTGTACTAGAATCAGGCATTCTTGCATAGTCCTGATAGAAGACTCTTCCACAAAGAGCCTCAGGAATTAAACCAAACTTATTCTCCAACTCCAGCATAATCTTCATGTGTTCCACATAATACTATTCACCACTGCAACAGTAGCAACTAATAGGACAAAAGTGCTTCATTGCTTGACTAATTACTCCATATAAAGTTATTAAAATTAGAATAACAAAAATAGTCTGTTCATTGCTTAGAATAACAGCACCATGTAATTGCCTAAACTTCATATTCTTAAATGCTTATGGCTGATCAAATTTCATACATTATGACTTAACCGAAAAGGAGCATTCCAGCAACTTAAATAACGAATGGAACCATAAAATAGATATGAATGAAGTAGTATGTCATACATGATGTTTGAAGGCTAGAAAACTAGAAAAGGTAACAGTCCAACCAACAAAAATGTTTCCAGAATAAAATCATCTTGAGTAAAATCGGATACACAATAGTTATTATTAAGTGTAACAGAAGGTACAACTACAGAACACATAAAATTCAGTTTAGCATATAAAGGTTGCCAAAAGAAACCATAAGAAATGTTCAGACGTAATCTGAGGAAAGTAGAGAAATCACTAGGCAATTTACTCAAAGGATTTGTAAAAAGAATAAGAATAATTAAACGAGTTAACAACCTATTCCAAGGGCCATCAAATATATTATCCAATTCGGGACATTGTGGATCATCTTCATCAGGGATCCAACGTTCCAACTCCCTCTCCGCCTCAACTTGACGAGATTGTGAAATAGAGGAATCTAGCAAAATGTCCTGCTGTTTTGCCCGTTGGAGCTCATTTGTCATTGCATCCCTTGTCACAGACACACCCTGGTCCAATTGAATGACAGTTAGATCACTGTAGACCTAAGCAATAGAAATAGCAGTCCATCCAACAAAACACATGGAGGTCATATATATATATATATATTAGCTACTATTTGAAGTCCTCCTAAAATAACCATGAGTCTCAAATATTGAGCCGAAGCTCCAAATAGAATCCAATTTGGACAAAAAAAAATTTTTTTTTTTGATAGGTGCTATGGACGTAAAATATTTAAGGGTAAAGAGCAAGAAACTCCCCAGTTATATTAAAATTGTGCACAAAACAACACTCCTATTTAGAATGAGCATATAACTCCTCAACATTTGAAAAACGTGTGCTCATTGCGCCATAATATCTGTTGACCGTCAATTTTGACCAAATTTTTTTATAAAAATCCCAAAATATCCTTTTTGTTTTTTCGGAGATAAGAGGTTTTTTATTTTTATTTTATCAAGGGCATTTTAGATATTTCAGTCTTTAAATTGAGAAATTTTCCTTATTTGCTCAATTTGAAAAAAATAATAATAATAATTGATAAGTATTTGCTCAATTTGAAAAATGCAGGGTTTTTTTTTTTTTTAACATCAGGAGGGTTTTTGCACAGTTTGTGTATAACAAGGGTTTTTTTTTTTTTGCACTTGACCTATATTTAAAAACAACTCTAGAGAAATGCAACATTACCTTTGCTATAATTTGCACAAGTTCTTTAGCTGGTATAATTAAAGTCTTTGAAGGACCCTTGCTAACAGAATCTGAAATAGCCTTTTGTCCTCGAGAAGAACCAGCCCTTGTTAAGCGAGCCATTTTCAAGATAATTCCTGCAAAAGGCGACCAAATTAACATTGCGAACGTAAACGGAATATGCATAGAACTCCAATTAACTTTTTCCATAAATGGGGGTTAAGGAAACCAACTTCAACAATGCAAATGACAAATGATTACTTTAAAACAGATCCGAAATTTCAGGACATACCAAAATCTCTGTCAGCATTTGTTGCATGAAATAGTCCAGAAAATATAGATCCGTCTTTCACCTGGACTTCCACTTGATGTCCAATAAGACATGTTGTTAAATATACCAGTCGCTCGCGTGAAGGACTATCATTTCCTCTGCCTTTGCTTCCACTCATCACACCTGATCCAACTGAAGTTAGAATGAATACTGTACCGCTACAGTAAACAATTTATCTTTAGGTTGCCAATTTTACCCGCATTGATCGACTTGCTGGGGTTTGTTTTCCCATACTGTGAATTGTTCTCCAATCTAGTGCCGATATCTCTTTCAACTCTTCGACGGCCAAATCCATTAGCAGTCGATCTGGGTGGTACAACTTGCTGCAGATTCATTCTCAAAAGCAACAGGAAATGTACTGAAAAGAAGTTTGCAATCAGATTAATCCAATCTGCTGCAAAGTAAAATCAGATTAATCATAAACCAAGAAAAAGCATATAGTAGTCTACAGTCTGCATAAGGCGTTGTCGAGGATCTAGAAAAAATCAGCAAAGATAAAAGCCTATAGGAGGAGCTGAGTTCATATGTAAGTGGCCTAATTTCCATTTGATAAAGGGTTAATTGTAGAAAACCACCTAAACTCTTAAAAACTTGCATATCATCCCCCTGTACTAATTTTTTTCATATAGCAAAATATCAAAAAAAAAAAAAAATTCCAAGACACCCCATCCATTAAATTACTTAATGAAATAGACAACTAAGTTTCACGTGAGAATTTCATCGTATTGGGTAACCTAAAAAACCACAATAACCCTCTTGGTCCCAATTGCAAACCAACCCCACCACACCCCCCACCCCCCAAACACCAAACCTTCTTCCTCCCTCCCCAACACCCCCAAGCTATAAAATATGCACATCACCCCCGTGTATAGACAGATTCCTCCCCCCCCCCCCAAAACACCAAACCTTCTTCCTCCCTCCCCAACACCCCCAAGCTATAAAATATGCACATCACCCCCATGTATAGACAGATTCTTTATAGTTCGTGGGGTTACATGCAATTAACCTTATGGACAATTCAAAAACTTCAGGATGCATTTTACGCATTTAACAGCCACTTAACGCATGTTAGGTTCTTGGCCTTATCTGCAAATTTTTAGTAATTCATAGGGTAAATTTTCATTCCAGGGTAACATGCAAATTTTGTATAGTTCAAGGAGGTTTCGTGCAATCAACACTTTATTTAATCAACTGCAAGTTAAAAGAACTTCAAATTATTTACCCCAACAGAATAGGCCTAACAACTGGAACTTCCTTAATAGAGGAAGAAGGCCCAATCAACTCAACAGTCTTTGTGGACCACTAAGAAGGAGCCCCTGGCATACTAGTGTTCTTTCAAATGGATTAGCCTGCCCTTTCCAGGATACCACTCATTTAATGATATCTAAGCTTTTCAGGGACCACCTTCAACCAGTAAAATAAAATCTCCGGTATGAATTTATATAGCAATTGTTTAATCAGTTACCCAACACTCGATAGAGAAGGATACAAGCTCGTATAAGAAACTCGGGCTACATCGTTTGGAAAACCAAGCACAAACTTGAACAAAATATCTACAAATCAATCTTAACATATATTCTTCTCCCAAATGCAAGCCCATTAGCTATAATTTTTTTATAAGATTTCATTAAAAGCACTCAAAAGGGGAGTGTGCCCAAAGAAAAACAAAAGGCATTATACCCACCAACCGCCCATTAGCTATTATCACACAATAGGCTGCACAATGGCTTCTCCTTCTTGAGAAGAAAAATAAGTACACAGCAGAGCCATTTTCAAGAACTACACCCAATTACCGCCCATCTCACTGGCTTCACTGCATTTTTCAAAACTTTCCTTGTTCACTACTTAATATCATATTATTTTTTTAAAATAAAAATCTAAATATATATATATATATAATAAAAATAAAAAGAAACCCAGCAACTGACTAGAGTTGACGACATTTAACCTACTGATAAATATCACATGGTTATGATTAATGACTGGAAACTTCTAAAGCTACACTTCATGGTAATTAATAATTTAATATCATATACTTACATCTTGAATTACTTTTGAGAAACTTCACTAATAAAAAATACAATAAATAAGCTTTTACATGTCTCTGAATAGATAAACTAAGCATCACTTATGTTATTCTATTTTTTAGTTAAACCAAGTCAAATAAATGTAGAAACCTAAGTCACAGAGAGGGATCGGGGGCGAATTTGGGAGCGGGAGTGCCAAATCGGCAAATCTAAATCGCATAGAATGGGAATCGGAGTGAGAGCAAGAGCGAGCGCGGAGCGTGAAAGCAAGAGCGCGCTTGGAGCGTGAGAGCGGTACCCATGAAGAAGAATTGTGTGACTTAGGTCAAAACTAGTCAAACAAACACAAAAACAAGCTCATATTAGATAGATTAACCATGAAACAGTTCTTATTCTCACATGCATCAATACTAACAAATTTAGCAAAAAAATCATCCTACTAAAAGTAAAAATCAATACATTCAGTGCTCTCTTCTATTTTTTTTTTTTCTTTTATAATTTTTCCCATGTTCTTTCTCATCATCACCACCCTTGCCATTATCCCTAGAATGGGTCGGCCACATGAATTCTATTTTTTTATTCTTCCTTATTATACACTATGTTTCCTTTAAGATTTAAATTTTTTAAATCATTTTCAATTACTTCCTCCCAAGAGACTTTTGTCCGACCTCTTTGAGGTTTCCCTTCTAACTGAGACATCTCCGGGTCTACCTTGTATATGGCCATACCACATAATTCCAGTTTCTTGAATTTCATCATTAGCAGGCATTATGCATGGTTTTCCCCTCACTTGATCATTATAATTTTTCCAGTATTCTCTTCAATTATTAGTACGAGGAAATCAAACATGGGAATCTAAATTTACAATCCTCAAGTAAAAAAGCAATCTTCTGGGAAAAAATAAAAATAAAAAATAAAAAAAACAGCGAAAATAGAAATCATTTAAGAGAATCAAGAAAATGTGTTAAAACAGATAAGAACTTAAAAACAATTGGAAAGTTCCAACTTGGCCAAAAAATCACAACTTAATGAGTTTATCATGCATAACTGTAACCCGAATCAATCACCAAACCACAATATAATTGTAAATGACACGTACTAAAAAGTGCATACCCGCAAATACAAACTCCAATAAAGCAGCTCAATAGCAATAAACTATTAATTGAAAGCATAAATGAAATTAACGAGAGCTAGGGTTCTTACCTGTGACAGAAATTAGTAAGATAAATGTGTCTGCACTCGATCGCTTAGAACACAATCAATAGATGCGACGGCGCAACAGCAGCGGATCGAAGGTGATTGGGACGGTGACAGGACGCGAGTGTTAAATATATGTATGTGTGTGTGTGTGTGTGTATATATATATAGAGAGAGATATATATATATAGAGAGAGAGAGAGAGATTAGAGATTGAGGAAGAGAAACTACAGAGAGGCGCTAAGATGTGCCGCGCGACGATAGCTGTCGGTCGACGAAGACGGCGCCAGCGGTGAACTATGTGTGTGTGAGAGAGATATATATATCGGAGATCGGAGATTTTTCGGTCTGCGTAAGAAAGCCCTAGTTCCGCGACAAGAGAGAGAGTTCTCTGTCAATAAGGAAAGCCTAAAATAACTCAACTGATTCAGAAAAAAGCTGTGAAAGATTTTTAAAATTGTACTCACTATTTATACACCACTTCTATATTCTTATAACTCACTTGAGTCACTTGTCTTAAAAAAAACTACATAATTTCCATTTATGAACAAATTTATGTACTCCTATCTCCTAATAATCGGTTAATTATAAAAAATAAAAAATAAAAATATATGTTGAAAGATAGTTTTTTTAATTTTGTTCATTAAAAAATTAAAGTGGATATTTTTTTTACATAAAATGTTTTGGACTTTTGATTAATTTTCATAAAATCATTTGCAAATAAAAATGAGAACGATTTGTGCTCGTGTTGGGATAGAGCCAACAAGAGATAAAAGGGATAATGTTCTTTTAACTTCTTTTTTTAACTCAACTAATTAAAATATATAAAATGAGGTTCAAATTAATAATAATAGAAAATATATAAAACGACCTTTATCTAGACATATTTTTTCATATCTTTTTATCTTGTTTCCTATGCTTCCAAAATTACATTCTCTCTGGCAAATAGATTATTAAAATTTAATAAAATTAAAACATCTATTAAACACATTATTTTTAAAATTATATTTTTTTATCTTGAAATAATGTGTTAAAATACGATTTAATTGTGTTGAGCGTGTTTACAATACGGTGATATGCACTATAAAGAAGATCCTGACGCTAACAAATACTCTTTTGATCCCAAAAAGAATATTGAATCATAGTTCCCAAACATAATACTCTTTTTGGGATGAATAGGAATGGCAATAGGACGGATTGGGACGGATTTCTCATTCCCCATCCCCATTCACATCCCCATCCCCGTTTAAATTTGGCACTCCAAAATTGCCCCATAATTGATTATTTTTTTACCCCTAATCCCCATAATCGCCCCGCCCCAGCCCCATCCCCACCCCGCTCCACTTTAGAAGTTAGGAATGAGTAGGGTTTTTATTTAGAAGTGTATATATAATATAATATGATATATATATATATATATATATATATATATATATATAAAAAATATGTTAAATCGGTAAATACAATAACATGGTAGGGATTAATAGGAGTAATTCCATATGTAATTGGGGCGGTTGTCTGGTGGGAGAACCCCTGCCCCGGCCCCAAATCCTGCCAGTTTTTTTTTTTTTTATAACCTTCATTCCCACCCCATTTAAATAAACGGTTCTCCAAACCCTCTAAAAACGGGGCGAGGACAGGGCAACTTCCCACCGAGTTGGAGTAAATTGTCATCCCTAGAGACTGAGCATATGACGTTTTAATTTATTCTAATTTATTATTTAAGACATAATATAATTACTCAAGCATCGTGTTTCAATATTCCAGTTTAATTGGTTTGTTTATGAGCAATTTAGCACCCTCTATAACTAAAATGCCATTTGTTCCACTTCAAGAATTTTTGTTTACCTTTTTTACCTGCAATCCTTTTTCAGGTAGGTATTTTTGGGTGAATGAATTATAATTTATATATTTAATATTTATTTATATATAAATATAACAGTTGTTGGATTGTTGAAAGTCATGACTAGTTCCATTACGTATATACAAAGAGTCGTACACGTTAGCAAAAAGTACTCTGTATATGTTTCTTTCTAAATAAAGCAACCCCTGTAAAGTATGTTTTTATTTGAAGTGTTCTAAAATTAGTACTCCACGTATCTGTTTCTTTATAAATGCTGCAATCCGTTTAAAGTACGTTTCTAGAAATATATATATATAAGTATGTTTCCCATTGAGGCTTTCTAATATTTTGTGAGCCCCGAATGAGTTAGTTGGTAGAGCCTAGAGCATTCAGTTTTTTCATATTTGAATTAGTTTTTAGAAATGTGTGTGTATAAAGTATGTTCCCCATTTGAGATTTTTTAATTGGCAGAGTACTTAACTTTTCGAGTAGGTATGCCCATGTTTGAATTATCCATCCCATATTGTCAATAAATAAATCAAGTAAAATATTTTGTGAGCTGGTGAAAAAATTAAGGTAAAATCACCCAAATTTCATATTTACCTTTTAATTTGAAGATAAGGAAGGACAACTACTGGACTACAACCCCTTGCTACAACACAAAGTATAATTTTAGCTTACTCGTTTTATTTTATGATTTAAAATTTTTTTTTTTTTTTAAAGAGTTTTTTTATTCAAGAGTGATGGTACTATGAGGTCTCTCTCGCAACACTTTTTATGGGTTTTTTTGTCTTTTTGTCATATCACCTTGTATAAATATTGATGCTCGAATTTAACCATTTGAAAGGGGATTATATAATCAACATTTCGTATTAAAATTCATTTACGGTAAATTAAACCAATCAGTCAAAGATTTAAACTCTTTAATATGACCAAATTGCACTATTAACTTTGATCGTCTTGTATAATTTCATTATATGATATTTTGAACTGATTTTTTACTAATGAGATTACTTTAATATCAAGGAGGTGATAATATAATTTATGCATTATTTTCTTTACCCAAAGCATACTAATTTAAAATAGTGCTCATGAAATTTATAATGAGGAAATCTCATAATAGCATTACTCTTCATTTAATATGAGAAATCTGATTATTTAGACGCATAGGAATAACCTAAAATAAGGTGCAAGACATTCAATATTTGTTTTGCAATTGAGTAATAGTGTAATACTCTTCCTTCTACTAATATTTGATATTATTAGTATTTGAGTTAAGAGTAAATTACACTTATCTTCCCTTTAATTAGAGTTTATTATATTTCCTCTTTTGTGATTTGAATTATTACAATTAGACCCCCTTTAATTAAATATGCGTAACAAAACAGTTCACACCATCAATTTCATTAATAGTCGTAGATGGTCAACATTGATGTGATAAGTTTTATTATTATTATTATTATAATGAAGACATTTTTATCTAATGTATTGTGCAAAAAAAAAAAAAAAAAAATTAATACCCTTATTTTTGGGTCAAATTTTTTGACAGAACTCCTCCATTCTGAAATTGGATTTTGTTAGCATTGCATTATTCTATCTTACCTCAATGAATTCATAATAATAATAATAAATTGTCACATCAACGATAACCATTTTGTGAAAGTAGATAACCATCTATGAAACATCCACCTTCCCTCTTTGTTAAGTAGAAAATTCCAAATTAGTATTTCGGGATAAATGACTTTGGGTATGCATTTACGTATTTCTTCAAATGAGATGCTAACCCAATCTCCCCACCTCGCGTAATCACATCACATCAAGAAATCTTTATTTTTTCAGATTGGGAATATTCAGAGATTCAACAATTATTTATGATTTGGTCTGCTAGGAAGAAGGGTTGAAGAAAGATAAGAAGTAATAAATAAATTTTCTTCATTTGGTAGATAAGGAGAGATCGGATCTGCATGAAAGCCATCCTTTCTAATTCACAAATTGTCATCCCTCCAAACGGAAGAACATAGGAAGAGAAGCAAGAATATTATAGTTATTTTAAAATATAATTATTTAGATAAACCCAATATTAACAATCTCTCTTCTCCTCTCATAACAAACAAAGATGTGTTACATACTTCCATTCTCTTCCGTCCAACCAACCAAAAAGGAAAGAAAAACCCCATCTCATCCCTTCCCTGGGGATGTCCCATCCCTCCATTATTCTCTACCGTCCATCCAATTTTCTTCCTTCCTACCAAAAGAACATCGTTTTACAGATCTTGCTATTACTGATAAGGTTATCACTATATAACACACACAACATCCCTTAAATGCCCCAAAATGAAGGAGAGTTGCATCAGCTTACCATAGGCTAGCTATTACCCAACTTATGACTTCAAGCTGTGCAGAAACTTCAACAGGGCAATCACTATGTAAAATGTAAATGGTGAACCGGAGTACATATTGCTTGTTTTCCATTGTAATGATGAACAAACTTAATATAAAAACAATTATAAATCAGTTGTTATAGACTTACAGTGCCAAGTTGATACAATGCCATATACATGGAGCAAATGACAAATAATGACTAATTTAGGCAAACCACACAAATTATTAAAATTCTATCCATAAAATGTGAACAATTTGGGGATATCAAGCCTTTTTTCTCTAGGAATAAGAACTGGAAAACAGTAACAAGAGATACCATATTGCTGCTTCTACGCCACTGGATGCCATTCTGGTAATCAGCTAACTCATTCCACACCTACCGATTCACGAGTAACTTTATAAACATGTTATCCAAGCAGCACTGCCAAGAGGAGCATCTCCACCGGTTTTTCATGGTTGATAAGAAAGCTAAACTCCCTGAACAGCCAGTAGTTGACACATTTTCAGTCAAAGTCTCCATAACAAGGATGGGGGAAAGAAATAGATCTGGAAAGCAACAACATTGTACAATCTAGATATTGTCTAAAATAAAAAAAAGGTCAACAAACTGGAGTAAATAAAAAGAAATGCAGGACAGTTTGTGTATTGGGGGGGCAAAAAAATCAAATCATTTGAAGAATATATAAAATATCAATAAATTCATGCCAGCCTGGTCTGGCAGAAGATTCTGTAATTGTTGTATTTTAGAGGCAAACTGTAAGGGTGGTCAGATGATAATTTGACACCTAACATGTCAGGTCACGAGCATGAACATTATTACATTGATATCTTGATTTAAATTTCAAAAGGAAAAAGTAAAAAAAAAAGAGAGAGTCAGAAGTTCATTCTCACCATCTGAAATTATAGTTTTAAGTTGATCTTCTCAGACCACTTGAAAATGTCGGTGTGGACTTGGTCACCTCCCAAATCTTCTCCTGTAGCCCCAGCAGCAATCCTTATGACGTCTTCGATTAAAGCAAAATTCCCCATTATATCGACATGAGCCCCACTCTGGGTGCCACGACCTTCAAGAAAATTAGCTGGAGGAGCATGGTCATACTCCCTAACATAAGTTCGAATTCCAGAAGGATTGAACCTGGTTTTGCCACGCCAACCTTTTGCACACATGAAGCCTGCACTTAAAACAGGCACAGTCTCATCTCCATCAACAGTAAAAACTCCATCTTTCAAACAGCTATCATCGTGTTCCCCATCTGCTGAAGTATCAATCTGAAATGGAATGTAGCATTCTGCTGAAGGCGTCAGCCTGTAAATGTATGCTCTTTCGGTTGGGATGCCAACTCCATACATTGAATATATCTCCATCTCAGGAGCATAAGGTAATCTGCAAAATGAAACAGGTAGATATAGCGAAACATTAATTTCTTAATCAATGAACCGGCACCAACCATTAATAAAAGAACTTCTGATGCATTGTGTCAGTCACACCAATAAATCAGCAGGGGAAAAAAAGTTTGCAGCCACAAGGCTTAAGACATAATCAAACAGCTGGGACAAGAATCATTAATGAGTAAAAACATCAGAAGCGGATAAATTTTTTTTTGAACTGAATAGTAAAAAATATCAAACCCCCAATACTACTGGATGAGATTATTATTATTATTTTTTTGATAAGTAAAATATATAAAAAGCACTCAAAAGGGGAGCGGAACCCATAGAACACAAAAGGCCAAAAGCGCCTCAAGCCTTCAAAGAGGCCAAAAAAACAACAATCTCCTCTACAAATCTATAATCTCTCCCTGAGACCCAACAAAAAAGAGTGAAAATAATAGAGAACTTAAGCATAGAGATAGGCTTCTCCTTTCCATCAAAATATCTCCGATTTCTCTCGAGCCAAATGCACCACCAAATACAAAGAGGTGTAACCCTCCAAGCGTCCCGAATGAGAGCCCCCACTGAAAAGCCTCTCCATGCCACAATCAACCCTCTAGAGGATCTAGGCATAACCCAAGGGATCCCAAACAACCCAAGCATCAAATCCCAACAGCCCCTAGCCATGCTGCAATGTAACAGAAGGTGATCAACTGTCTCCTCATCGCGCAGGCACAGATAACAGCGATTAACCACCACCTGATTCCTCCTCCTCAGATTATCCTGGGTTAAAATCCTACCCAAGACTAGTCCAAGATGAATGAGGCAAGTATAATCATTGTACCGTAAGATGAATGAGGTAACTTCTTAATTGCCATACTAATTGTACCGTAAGATGAATGAGGCAGGTATAATCATTAATTTTACTGCCATATTAAGGTGGAATTATAAGACAAATGAGGCACTTACACACATTAATTTCAGGAAAGCAGATCACCCAAAAAAAATAAAAAAGATCAATAATAAGAACAACTATTAAATAGAAAAGAGATGGCAATTTTCCAATTACTGAAAAAAGCATTATATAGTTTGTTGACAAGAAATTGTAAACAAGATAGTAATTTGGAGATCTCTAAAACCAATTATTTGATCTAATTTCTCAAAGTAACAAAGTATTCCAAATAACATCAAAACCATTGATAATTGTAGAATTCAATGCGGGGTATAAAGGCTTACAACCATCATGTAAGCATTTCAAATGAATCAGGGTTTCACGAACTAATTAGCTTAGCTTCTCATATCAGCTACATTTTGGAATGGATAAACAAAGAGGACTTAAAACTAATAAATGAAATTGGAATAGAAGAATAGATATTCTTACTTTGTTTCGAGTGGGTTTGACCAATATTTGTAGTGTTTATATTTTGGATCATCCAAATTCTCAGCTATTCCATATGAAAAATGAGTACTACCACGGGCCATCATTTTTGGGGCAACAAAAAAAAGCAAATCCAAAGTATCTCCAGCAGTATAAGCCTTGTATTCTGCCACAGCTTTGATACCCCCAAATCCCATGTCATGGTATTCCGTCCACACAGCACGACAGGTAGTATTTTCAACATTATTTCCCTTAATAGCATCCTGCACATTAACAAAATAATTAAGGATGTCGTGATAACTTTGAACATAATAGGTCAGTACCTTTCTTACACAATTGATATTGAAATTACAATAGCAGTGAGCATGCCAGCTGACAGACTCAAAGCAATTTTGCTTGTGGCTTCAGAAAGAGCGGAGCAAAGGCAAATTTTAAACTTGAACGAAACAAGGACTGCTATTTTATTAATCACTCGCTGGTTCTACTCGTTTAACACCCATCTTAATTAAATTAATTTTTACTTCATATATTTTTGACAAGTAACTGTCACTTCTATTCCAGAGGAGATGGCTTACAACAAAAAAGAATGGAAAGAATATTCATGTGACCAACCCATTCATATGGGATTAAGGCAAGGATGATGATGATGATGATGAACTGTCACTTCTATTCCATGCATGGCTTAAATACAAGTTTCTGTTCACCTTTCAGCATATAACTAAACAGAGGTTGTCTCCTAACCTTAAGTTATTTTCAGGCCCCAGAAAAATCTTGAGAAAAGAAGGATAAAATTAGGAAAGAAATTTCATTCTATAACTGTTAAAGAAAGCAAGAACTTCTCCCTTGTAATGCTCCCTGTTTCCTTTCTGAAGCAGTGAGGAAAAGGATCATCCACCTTCCCTCTTTCACTCTATCAGCCAACCCTTTCTGTTCCTTTGCCACAATCCCACACCATCAGCCCTACAGCATACATCAAACAGCTAGCACCACCAAGGAATAGCACTTCAGCCACCATTATAACTAGCAGCACCATAACCCCCATTATCTGCACAGGCACCGCACTATTACTGTTACGGTGTTATCGCCGCCTTCATATATCCCTTTCTCCACTCAACCAATCAACAGAAAGAAACAACTTTGGCTTGTTTGGTTCAATTTTCTAAAAACAGTTCTCAATATTCAAAAAACAGGGAAAATGTTGTCAGAAGACTGTAAAAGACTATTCTCTGAAGAAAAAAAAAAAACTGTTTTTTAACTTTAAAAGAAAACTGAACCAAACAGGCACAAATCTGTTTTCCATTGCTTTTTTTTCCCCCCTATCAACTCTCTCTGTTAAATGCACCATCATTTTTTATAACTTCTTCTTCTTTGATTAATAAATTGCCTTGAAAAATCCCAAAGGGGCACAATCTAAACTAAATGGCCCATAACCTACCTCGCCAAATATCCAGTGTTTTTCCTATATACATTAGAGCTTCAACCTTTAAATTTCTCCTCTTCTATAGATAGAATTTAAGCCTCAAATCTTCTTCCTTAATCTACCACACTGAAATTAGGCCTTATTTTTCAGTTCTTCAATATTGAGAAACCTAGCAGTTGTTGGGCATAATAATTGGGAATGAATAATAAAATCAAATGATAACAAAAACACCAATCAATAAGGGGGTGGTTTCTAATGAAACAAGTAGTCATAAAATAAAATTAAAAAAAAACAAAAAAAAAAACCTTACCCTAAAATCAATCCTCTCAATCTCAGATGAATGTGCTTCTGCTATATCTTTCCCAAATGATATCATCCTTCCATAATTAACATTTTTAGCTTGAGAAACCAAACTTTCAGATTCATTTTGGCCTGAACTCTGAATATCATTGTTTCTTTGCCTCTCCTTGCTAGGAATGTAACCTTCTTCAGGAGACCAATCAAGACCACCCCAGATGGTGTCGCCACCTTTTGGTATCATAGACATGGTTGAATCCCATGTGCGGGACATCTTCATTATGTATTGCAATGTTTGAAAACCAAAAAAATCCTTATCCAAAACACCTTGTCCCATGGCGGCCCTGCATTTATGTAAGTGCACATCTTATATAAAAGTAAAACTGATCATTATCATTAAGTACACATAGCAGAGCAAATTACTAACTGGAACACTTAAAGAGTACTCATTTATTTGACTTGAATTGACATGAAAGCCACGAAAGCATATAACAAGTTTCTGTTAATAGCGTACGAGGAAATAAAGAGATGGAATAAAAAATGCTATGCAGAGTTTTTTTTTTTCCTTTCTAATTTCAACATAACTTGCCATGGAATAATCTCCTCATCATATTAATTAAATTGGGTAACTCAGAGCACGAGGCTCCCACCAATACGGGGGTCTGAGGAGAGTTAGATGTGTAATCTATAATCTTTATTCTTTATGATAATGTTTCAATGATCATGTTTCTGAGAGAGGTTGTTTTCTGCATGGAAGCTTTCTGAGTCCTGAACTATTTGTCATTTTAAGCACAAGTGGTATATTTGGTTGACTAAGGTTTATAATTAATTGACTGGTATTCATAATTGTCATATATAAGCTACTTATTTCATTTCTACATGGACTATAAACATTTTCCAAACAGAAATTTCTAAATGTTGCCGCTGGAAAATCCGAGAACAGTTTTAAAAGGTATATAACAAGATAGCAGGGTCGGCTTGATGCAGTTTGAGGCCTAAAGCGAAATCATTAAACTAGGCCTTCTTACATTGATTATAGTAATACAGTAGTAATAGTTTTTTTTTTTTCTCTATCTCTCTCTACTTAACTTGCAATAAGCTCAAGGAAATATAAAAATACTTTTTATGTTTATTAACTCAATATATAGTGATTAAACTGTGCTGAAAATATTTGTGAAAGAGAGTCAATATACAAAGTAATTTTTTTAACAAGTATTGTTATGCAAGAGAATTTAAAATTTAGAAGGCGTCCAAAAGGTGTGAAATTGTTAAGAGAAAAAAAACTTAGGTAATTAAAAGAAACTTGAATTGACCAATAGGAGAGTAGTTGTATTTATTTGGTAATTAATGCAATACACAAAGCATAAATAATTCATTAAAATATATATAACTAATAAAAAAGAAACTTGTATTGACCAAAACAAGAGCAGAAGTATTTATTTGGTAATTAATATAATATACGAAGCATAAATAATTCATTAAAAGAAATATATAATTAATATAATCAGATATGGGGCCTCTTTCTTTTATTGGGGACCTTAGGCGACCGCCTTAATGGCCTTATGGTTGAGCCGCCCCTACAAGATAGCTTCTATTTAGTCACCGTGACAGTAAATGTAGAATAGTATTTCAAACTGTTCAGGAGAAGAACGTCTGTCTTACTATTGTTGCTTTATCATTTTAATAGGACCCATGTAATGGTATAACCTTCTTCAAAAAATGAGTTGAATCTTTTCCAGATAGAAGGTTGCATGACTGTGAAAGGAAGATCAATCAAACATAAAAATAGGCCACGAATAAAGAGTAGCAAAATGTAGAGAAATTAACAGTGTCTGGCTCAGCCAGGAAGGTCTATGGAAGTCATTTCAAATGTAAGACAATGGAGTGAGAAGCTCCGCTAGCTTAACAACAGTGATTTACTATTAATGGTAATCTGCAAATAAAATAAAAAACTGTTGTATAAAAAATGTTCGATTACTCCCCCGATGTTTAATCAACCCTATATTTTTCAAAGTCAATTTGCCGTTAACGGAACCCTAAAATGACTAAAATAACCTTATGGTACAATAGAAAAAAAATATTAAAAAAAATACAGAAGATGCGAAATGTCCAAAAGGGACATGATGCTACACCATCGATAAGATCAACCATCCCTATATTGAGTCATGAACCAAGGGAAAGCGATCAAAATGTCCTCATATTGAGCACCCACCAACGAAAGAGGAGTATCTTGCTCTCTGCTTCATCATGCTCGCTCGCGGCGGCGCCAGCTCCTCCAACACCGCTTCACTTTGCAACCACTCCTCCCCGCCAATGCCTCCGCCACACCCAACGTCATCTGATTTGAAGCTGTACAAGTGTTCCAAATGCAACAAGGCCTTCGGTTCCTACCATGCCCTAGGCGGTCACCAAGCCACTCACAGAAAACTCAATAGAGTAGACAAGCAATCATCCAATTCCGCTACCACCACAAACGCCGCCGCCGCCGGAGATGGCAGGACTCATGAGTGCTCTATTTGCCACAAGTGTTTCCCCACCGGACAGGCGTTGGGCGGACACAAGAGGGGTCACAACGTAGGCGGTGGTAGAAGCAGCGCAGCAAGCTCGTCAGAAGGAGTGGAGTCCAACAACAGCCACCGAGATTTTGACCTGAACCTCCCCGCCTTGCCGGAATTCTTACCCAATTTGGGTGAGGACGAGATCGAGAGTCCTCATCAGGCAAAGAAGCGTCGTCTTTGTTGCCGGTGAAAGCTTAAGTCTCTTCCATCATCAATAGCTTAGCCAAATTAGGACTAAAATTTGGCAGATTTAGAGACTGATCAAGAGTGAGATCTCAAGTTTGTTTGTTTTTTTTTTTATTTTTTTTTTATTTTTTATTTTATATATTTGGTGATTTTTTCCCCCTAAATTGGTGATTTACAATTTTGTATGTACATAAAATGTGTAAGTTGCATCTTTTTTTTTTTGATAAGTAAAATGTGTAAGTTGCATCTTAGTGATATGTTTGCATTAGAAGAGAGAAAAGTTGCATTTTACCCTACTATCAATTATCAATTCTAATGAACAATCTAAGTATTCAAACTCACAAATTATCAAGCAAACTTTTTCCCACCCGCCGTGTAAAGATTATTGTTCAGTCGTTACTGACAAACAATAAATAACTGCATATCTTTTCTTCTCTTTTCCATTTGTATTCCCAGATAAAAAAGTATCCAGAAACTATTCATAAAAGAGAAGGTAAATTGGAAAAATACCTGGCAACCGCAATATCCCTGGCTTCAGCAGAGAAAAGACCAGAGAAAGCTTTGGGAACTCCTAGAAATGGTCCACCAATATTCATCACTGCCTTTATATGCTTAGCACACCAATCCGATCCACCCCCGCCACCCATTGGAGCTGGTGTCTCCACCCACTTCATAAAATGCAAAAAGTATAAAACACCCATTGAATGAGGAATGATAACTGCCTTTTTGCCACCATTTGTAGCTACCATTAATTCTATATTACTTTTTATCCGACTTAGTGTCTGGTCCCGAACCTGATGAAATAAATTTCACATTAGGAAAAATAAATAAATAAATAAAATGACAATAAAAAAACCAATGAAATCCATTGAGTATTAGGATGAAAATTACGAAATGCAACTTCATTAGATTCAGCATGCATATTGTAATGCCAACCAAAAAATAAGGAGAATACCTCAGTGTTCTGAAATGAAAGTCTCCAATCATATGCAGCCATATACATGGTTTTCTCTTCATAGCCAATGAGAGCTAAATTAGCAATCAAAACTGCCCAAACAAAATACCCTGGAGCAAAGTAATCTGCCGCCACAAGACCAGAGACAGGCCTGATCCTTATACCAGGAGGATCCAGACCACTTTCATTGTCCAGTGACATATGCTCCACCCAGCATAAAGGTCTGCAAAACATCCAATGGGAAATGTCTCCTAAATGTCAATATTCATTACAAAAATATACGCAACTAAAAATGCACCTCTATAAGATCCAAAGAGGACAACAAGGACACAGAAAAGGAAAATTGAACAGAATTGGAGCAAGCAATGATATCTGATGGCAACATTAATATCCATAGTAAGTAAAGAAGTATGAGGATTGAGGACAGAAAACAACACATCCATCTTGGGGAAAATACACATAAGACGAAGTGGCAAAATCATACACTTCAAACGATGAATATTTGACAAGATGATAAAATTTTCGCTAAACTGAAGCAGATGGCAGACGTAACATTTTTCCACAATCAAAACAGTCGGGATTTGTGAATGTAATTTATGGAAATGAAACACGCATCATCAATGTACTTGGCTGTGTGGGCACAATGTTTACTTTGAAAAATCCATTAAAGTTATTAGTGGCAATAATGCAACCACTAAGCAATATAACTAACAAAAAAACAAAGTAAGCAACATAACATTGTCTTGAAACATCAAAGCATCATAAACATCCAATATTGAAAAACGAAGACCATCATAGTGGCTTTCTTTAAAAAAGAGGCACCACGGATGTGCTTTGTACAATTTCTTTCTAGAACTAAAGATGACTTTAAGTATCCAAACTGGTGGCGAACAATAAGGAAATGAATGCCATGTCAAGAACTGTCTGCCAAGCTAATCACAAAGTAGAAGCTTAGAAGAAGCATCCACATGCTATAAAACATTATAAGGTGTAAAAGGGATACCACATTTTTAGAATCAGAAAGATCCCCTACAAGATATATTGACTTATTTAAAAAACATGACCAAAACAAAAGAGGTTTAAGACTGGAGATTGTTAGGGTTATACATATCAATAGCCTATGCACAGGCAACCCAATGATTAGCTGCATAGAGCATGTGGATGAATAGAAAGATGCACGTCCAGATCATTACTAAACATTACATCAGACTCAACACCAACAACCTCCCCCCCCCCCCCCCAAAAACTCAAAAAACAAAAAATAATCTTGCACGGAAACTAGAGCATATTTTATACAAAGTTCAAAATTAAGAAATTAAAGCATCTCAACTCCCTGTTATAGTGTCAACCATACACATCTCATAGGATTTTATATATAGGGGATTCAAATGAGAGTGCCAAAATTGCTATCGCAAATAATTCATAAATCTATTTTTCTCTAGCCTCTCTCCAAAAGTCAATGACCCAGAGGAAGGTAGGTTGCAAAGGATCAACCAAACAAAATAGTTAGTTTTTTTTGTAAGTAAACATTGTATGAAAAGCGTTTAAAAGGGGAACGCATCTCTTAAAAGCTACACAAGGCCAAATAGGGCCTCTATACCCTCAAAGACACCAAAAGATCTACAAGTTCCTCCAAGGATTTACAATTTCTCCCTAGAACCCAACAAAAAAGAGTACTAACAATGGAAGGTACACCAAATTACTATCTGAAAGGTACACCAAAATAGTTCTAGAACACTGAAGAGTTGAAATTACTATCTGAAAGGTACACCAGGATTCTAATACCCAAAACTTATAAGTGCTCCAATACATGGACAATAACAGGGAAGTTTTAGGAATTAAATGCATTTTTGTGTTTCCTTTTATGCAATAATGCAGATAACAGCAGGTTATCTTAGCCTAAATAAAAAAATAAACATAATAGGGAATAAGGCATGCTTTCATCCTCCAAAAAATGACTGAGCTTTAGGTAACAATGTTATAAAAATTTAGGCTGCAGTAAACAAGGCTCCGGAAAAGTTTCATAATTTTTTAATTCACCCAAATCAAGTCTGTTTAGGAAATGGAAAAATAATGGCTGGACATCTACTCTTAAGATTCCATAATAACATGTAGAGAAAACTGAGAGGTCTCCAAACCAAATATAACTTCCAAATAGCCACTTTTAAAAGTCCAAAACACGATTAGAATTTTCATAACTGTGATTATGAACGTGTCGAAAAGCAACTCCCTGCAAAATGCAGCTCCTTCCTATTTCAAAGACAAAATATAAATAATTTAGAATAAGGTCTATCTCAATTTCTGTTGCATTGCTCGTCTTCTCCTCTTTGCCTTAATAGATGTTTCAGGCTCACCTGTGCCTCTTTTAGTTGTTCACTCCAACAAATCATCAATTAATATTTCACCCACGGGCATTTTATCTGCAACGTGGTATAGACACTTCTAGATAAGTCCACCTCAAGGATCCATATATTTTAAGTATTCTAATATATCTCTCTATATTCTCATAAATTCAGAGCCAACATTAGTAATTCAATTTTTTGGCCACTGCTCTATCTATTACAAAAATAAATTGTCTAGGCCATCAACTCTATTATCCCATCTTCAATCCTCTTCTTTTTCTTCCTTGATATTGTACTCATAGCATGTTTGACTTGTAGTGAACCAAACAATTCCATCGAATTGGTGAAGAGTTAAACTCGGTTTCCCAAGACAAAACCATCATAATTATCTGTCTCGTTCTATGCTTTCGTGTCTCGCCACTTGTGCATCTTAAAGTGCTGTTATAGAGTAAAATCCTTGAAAGTCCTTCCAATTCTTTGCACATCTTTAGTTAACAGCCAATAATACAACTATATCTGCAGCTACACAGAAGTATCAAAACGAAACGCTGTAATAAAATTCATAAAACCATTCCTATCAATGTATTAATGACATAATGTTGTTCTATCCAAATTCCATATCCACTTAAGTTACTAAAGCAAACAAGCCTTCTTTAGTAACTTTAAGTTCACATAGAATGTTGACAAACAGACCTTTGCTCATTTCAAAATTAAAGCATATCTCTCTCTCTGCTCTTCCTTCTTTCTGAAAGCAATGTCAAACCAAGCATTTAGACCAAATATCCTTTTACCACCTCGGCACATGAAAGAAGTCATTCTCCTTTTATAAAATGATGCTTATTGCTATTTGTGTAGCAACACAATCATCTGTGTACCATTAGAAAACAATAAAGTGTCTTCAAATCATAAAACTCATCCATAACTTGATTTTTAAAAAATAATAATAAATAGACTTTCCGGGTGATGGAAGAGCTTAAAAACACAATAATTCAGTTCCAAAGAACATTCCCCACCATAAAGAAAAATTAATCCAGCTCTGCATTCAAGAATTGAATACTTATTTCGCACAATTCAGAGTCGACACCCTAAATTCCCTCCCGTATAAACAACTAACATTCTCGAAATTGAAACACTACATGCCATGAATTGATCCATTGAGCTTAATAAAATTCATATCACAGCAACACAGACAATATTATGGAAACAGATACAGAACCAGTACCTCTTGTAGACTTCTCCGAATGTGCCGCCCCAGAGCCTCTTGCGGAACAATCCATTGGCACACTGATGCCCCTCCCACAGCTCGAGCCCTCCGGTGACAATTCCGGGCAGAAACACCACCGGATGCTTCGCCTTTAGTCCCTCTTTCTGCAACTTCAGCCCGGGAGGGTCCGGCAACGGCCCGGTGATCGCCTCCGTCACGTACTGAGGAAACGACGCCGGCATCGCATTGTACAGAAAGAGAAGAGTCCACCACACCATACACACGCATCCGACGAACCAACAACAACTATCCACACACGACCACTTGTGGCTCTTGTCTTCAACCTTTTCCTTCTCTTTTCCGGTCTTTCTCTTCTTGTCATCGTCTTCGTCTCTCTCAATCTTTTCATTTTCGGTTGGCTTTTTTCGTCGAATCAGAGGCATTTTTGTCTCAGCTTCAACACACCACTGCCTACATACCAAGCGTGCGTTTATATGTATATATATATGAATGTGTATATGTAGGTTTGTGTGTGTGTTTGTTTATAAGATGTATATATATTTCAAACCCTAGACGGCGTACAGTGGCCGGAGACGTTGGTCTGTCGATGGCTGAGAGAGTCCACAGAGGTGGCTTTTAATTCCGCCGATTGGTGTCAAAGTTGAATGTGGGACCCAAAAGGTATTGAGTGTGACGTGGCGTCGTTTTGAACGGTTGACGCCAAATACTATCTTTAACTAACGGTCCAAAATAAACAAATAGTGCAGTTAAAGCGTTGGCACCAATAATGTCTACCATATTCGAGAATTTGGAGTCTATGCAAATGCCTTTCGCGTTTTTTTTTTTATTATAATTAATTGATATATTTATTTTTCAAAAATATTAACACAATTAATTATTTAAAAATAATTTTATACTTTATTTTTTATGAATAATTTTATTATTTGGTTTGCTAAAATTTTTAAGTGAAATGAAAGTGAAAATTAGTGGTTGTCATATCATCTCTATCACACTTAATAAGAAAAACCCTCAGCAATGAATTTGGAAATCTTTTGTTATTTGGTTTACTAAAATTTTTTGTATATAAATTCTTTTTAAAAAAATTTATATTTCATTCAATAAATTTTATTTTTAAAAGTAACTGAACCGCAAATAAAAAGGGTTTCGCTTTCATCTTTTATAGCAATCTTTAAGGCATTAGTATTAAGAGATTATGTTAAGTTTTTCTTATATGTAAAATCAATCCATCAAAAAATATTACACAACTCATTTTGTTTCAACGTAAAATATTTTTTTTGAAAAATATTTTTATTTTTCGGGTCAAATATTCTTTTACGTCAAAATTGAGGTTGAAGTCTAATCCATCGGGCTGGACATGTAAAATAACTTGCTGAAAATTTAAAGATAAATAATTTTTGTTAAATTTTAATATTTTTTTTCTTCGTAAATATTTTACGATAACTAAACACCAAAAAATAAAATATATATATTTTCTTAAAAATATTTTACATCCAAACAAACGGAGCACGTGAAATAAATTGAATCTTAATTTAATTTTTCATTAAAAGGATGTCAAAGAAAAATAAGTACATGTAACACAACCAACAATACGCATGTAACGTGAAAAATAAATAAATAAATAAAAATAAGAATATTTTTTTTTTTTTTTTGAAGTGGCTTACTCTACCACCAAAAAGAAATAAAAAAATAAAATAGAAAATTGTAATGGTTTCTTACACAATTTTGTTTTGATCAATTCATGTCTAGGCAATTTCTTAAGCATTATTTGTGCCAATACAATTTTGGTTGTCAATCTTAATTCCACGCTCTGGTTTTTTGATTTAAATCATATTATTTCTCTTCTCATTTGTATGTCATTTTATTTTTTCGAGTTCTTACTTTTTTTTATTATTATTAATGTGATTTGGAAAAATCATCCTCTAGAATTATGAAAATATATGAGCTTTACCTCTTTACAAAAATATATGATAAAACTGATACATAACTTTACATTACTTCTATCATAGAGTGAACATAAAATAATAATAATAGTAATATTTTATTATTATTATTAAACTATGGGTTATAATTTAGTAGTGTTGTTTTTTTTCTTTCTTTCAAAAAAGGACGATGTGAGTTTGAGTTCGGTTAAAAACAAATGGATGGTGAGAATTCGAGTTATGGTAAAAATAAATGGATGTGTGAGTTTATTGAGTGTATTGAAAATGAAATATATATGCATGTATATATGTGTGTGTTTGTGTGTAGTTGTCAACATTTAAAATTGGATGGGTTGTTTTAGTTTGCTGGGGAAACTCAAAGATTACGATACTAATTTACCATAAAAATGATCTTTCATTCCTTCAGTTTGGTTTTTGATCGTGAAAACACCTAATTCACAATGTCCTTTTTGCAATTCCTATTCTTTTTTCTCTTTTTATTTTGTTGTTATTGGACAAAAAAACTCACACACACCACTCACTTCACTTTGCTCATTTGATTTCTTTTTTTCCTTTATTACTGTTGAACTTTTTTTCTTTTTTTGTTTTATAAAATAAATTATTTAAAAATTTTCAATTATTGTCCTTTTATAAAAATTCTGCTGAATATTATAAATTCAGCATCAATTGTTTTGGTCTTTGTATGACCATTGACCAATTCAATTCCGATGTTGTAACGGCTCTGTAGATTGAGAAAGGACAATTAAGGAACAAAAGAAGTTACCAAAAAACAAGTCCACCGTGGACTAAAAGTAGGGGTGGCAAATTATAATACGGACAACCCAACACGAACACTATATGAATTAAAAAGGTTTGGGTTTGACATAAATAGGTATGGGTCATAAAAGGGTCGACACGATTAACTCGTTTACTTAACCGTGTCGGGTTAGGGTTGAGGGATTCAATATGTGTAACTCGTTTATGACCCATTTAATTCAACATATTATAATCGTGAATATAACATATGTAATATGTTACTTGTTTAAACCCAATTACTATGGATAGTTAAGTCATTTCAACATAAACTTTGTCTATGTCTTATGATTTTTCTTTTTATTTTGAATATTTGGGTTAATTATGATAATTTTTTCTATTATTTAGTATTTGAATAAATATTAAATGTCTCGTTTTAATAAACAGGTTAACACGATTACCTATTTAATAAACGGGTTGGGTTAGTGTTGAGATTCTTGACACAATTATTAAATGGGTTGGGTTTGGGTTTATCTATTTAGTATAATACCCTTACATCGATACGACACGAACACGACTCACGAACACGAATTGTCACCCTTAACTAAAAGATAGGAAGCATAGAGATACACATACAATACTAAGAAGACATGGTAGATATAGTTAATTTAAACAACAAAATAAAAATAAAAAGGATACAAATTTTTTTTTTTTTTTCTCCGGCAAGTAATGAGATCACTAATTTAAAGCTTAAAGTTAGATATTTGTTGTTTTTGTTTTTTAAAATTTTGCATTATTATTTTTAATTATCCCATTAAATATTTTAGAATTGAATTGAAATCACAATTTTTTAAAAAAAAGTAATTGCAAAATTGTCTTGTCGTGTTATGAGACGGACAATATCTCGGACTAATTAGGTCATTACATATTAAAATTATTGTCAATTTCAAAAACTTTAAGTCACTACTATCTTTTATTTTTGAATAATTTGAAGTCATTTTTAGTCATATTCTTTTTATATGCTTATATACTATCTATATTCCAGATTAGATGTTTATTTCGATAATTTTGACTCACAAAAATTGTGAGTCAAATTTTTTGAAGTGAACAATTAATATGGAATGGAGGTAGTAGCATATTTCTTGTGTGAAAATTCTACATAATCAGTATACAACTGAGAAAAATAACGTGTTATACCTCAAATTTCTTCTTTTTTTTCCTAAATACTGTACCTCAAATTTATAATGGTCAACTATACTAAAGCCAGTGTAAATGGATGGACTAAAGAGTAATTGGAGTTCAACTTGAGCAACTATTTTTATAAGTAATTATAATTATTTTAAAAAATCTCAATTCAGACTTAATTAATATTGATCTTGAGTTGAAATGTAAATTATGTAATGAAACTAAATACGAAATTTAACGTGTGTGTATATATATATATAATACGAGACATATTATATGTAACTTTTTTTGTATTAGTTTAAAAAAAAAAAAAAATTAAAATCTTCATTTATTGTATTAGACATATTATATGTTTTAGACTCGTACATTAGATTGAGTTCCGCCCAACCATAGCATTATAACGTCCCAGCATTGGGCCCTCTTCCATGTGGTTCATAAGCATGTATGTCTCGCGTGAGGAAGCTATCAATATCATCATATATCTTGATTCTCGACACTATAAATAATTATTGTTGATGCATTATGAAAATGGAACATATAACCTCACGTGACTGTCACATTACCTCAAGTGACTTACCAAGAATCATTTTTTTTTCTCCCCAATTAAAGAAAAATAGAACTCGAATATAGAGAGACTCATCCGGAAAATTATACGTTTTACTAAGTAGGTCATTACATCGATAATGCCCTATTAAAAATTATTGGATGTTGATACCAATTATCCCCATATATTCATTAAACTTTCATAAGGTAATTAACCAAACCCATTGAAAATAATTTAATCAAGAGAAAAAATGAAAAATATTATTCATACTTATAAACTTCACTTAATTTTTAAAAGATAATATGTGACATAATTGTCATTTAAAAACACACTAATGATACACAATCTTATTCTCCTCTTTTTGAGCATTATTGTGTCACGTCCTTTGCTAACAAAGAAGCGTGAATGCTCCCCTACAATAATTATTATTATTATATACATATATATATATTTTTGGAAGGTATCCCTACAATGATTATTGTTAAACTATATATATTGGGGTACAATTAATTATAGTAATACTTGATGTCGCAATAATTACTTTTACACCTCATATTAAGGAGTTGAAGGATGAATCATCATGAATTCAATTCCGTTTTGGTCGTGTATCCTTTTTACTGTATTTGATGTGTGTGAGAAGTAGCAGTACGTATGTAATGTACAATCCAATAACTCATACTTAGTTGTCTTGACATACTGAATATAACTATAGTTTATGTGATACTGGTGGGGATAGGTTTAGTTTTTTTTAATGAGTTTCATATAAATATAATAGGGTTTTGGGATCCAACTGTTTGAAAGTAAAAACTAATATAATATAATATAATATATATAATGAATTGGAGTTTAAAAGTCCAACTAATAACTTTAATTAATTTATGTGAGTAGGGATTAATGTCACAATGATGTCATTAATATTATTGACATTATTAAATTTCTATTTAAATGAAATTAGTTAAATTTGTGAACTTCTTATTATTACCTTTTTACTATTGATTTTTATATTTTTAATACCACAACTACCCTTCTTATTATGAAGTGAGAACTTTTACAGGCGTTTTTAACCTTTGTTAGAATCCCAATTTATATGGGTTTTATGTCACATTTTATCTCCTTGTGATTGTGAGTGATTATAAGAAGTTGCGATCTAAAAAATAATAATAATAATTTAACGTATTGAGTTGTATGAATCAAACTATTTGTT